GGGGAGGGGGAGGGGGACGACGGGTCTACGGCGCACGGGCATGGCGCTCCCCTCGACAACCACAACCATGCGTCAACATCCTCACTACACTCCCCGCATTCTCCACCTGCGCCCACGACTCTCGACACATCCTCCACCCCCAACCCTCCCGCTGCCGCCGGTTACGAGCGCTCGCCCGACGGCTTCGCCTACCTCACCCACGCGCGCGACGACAGCCTCTCCGCATGGGCCGCCGCGCTCGGCGGGTCGCATCGGCGTGCCGACTCTGTAGTCGAAGCGGAGAGTCGGAGAGATAGCAGGATCAGCTTTGACGACGACGTGGAAGATGATGGTGGGGGAGGATGGAATGAGGGTGCGGGAAGATGGAGGGAAGATGGGGGGAGGGTGAGGGACAGCAGGATCACGCTGGACTCGAGGGCGGATCCGCGGGCGAGCATGGCGGTGCTCAACCCTCGAGACTCCATCGTGTCGTTCGACGATCGGAGGGCGAGCGTGGCTACGTTCAACCAGGACAGCTTTGGGCAGGGCGTGTATGATGGGGATACGTTCGGCCAGCGCATATTGAATGGGGAGAGAGAGGCGTTCAACCCGCGGGACAGCACGGCGACGCTCGAGCAGAGCGCGTTCGACCCACATCGAGAGACGTTCGACGCGCAGGCTACGAGGCGGTTCAATGCGCATGCGAGTATGGCGGTGCTCAATCCGCGGGACTCGGTCGCGACGCTCGATCAGGAGATGTTCAACCCGCGCGACAGCTCCGCGACGCTCGACCAAGACTCCTTCGCGCCGAACCCGCGCGAGAGCGTCGCGAGCGCATATAGCGACGAGTCCGCGTCCACGCAGCACGTCGGCCATCCTACGCATCAGGTGCAGGCGTCGCTCAGCTCGCTCCAGCAGCAACTCGCCTCCGCACCGCTCGGACTCGGGGAGGAGGGTGAACTTGGAGAGGGAGCGGGGGCGGGACATAAACCGAAGCCCTCGCTCGCGTCGAGCATATCGAGTTCGCTGGCCGAGCGCATCCACTCGCCGCCGAGCAGCGCGAGCGGGCCGTTGCCGTCGCCGTACTCGAATGCCGCTCTACCCTCGTCCGCGTCGGTTTCAACTGCATCACCACTCTCCAATCCAGGCGCCCTCGCATCTCCACCACCAACCTCCTCCACCCTCCTCGCCCCGCCTCCCCCCTCCCACCCCACCTCTGCTGAAGAGCAAGAAGACCAAGGCACAACCGGCATCGGCCTCTCCCTTCTACAATCCTTCGGCGCGGACTCCTCAGACGAAGATAGCTCGGACGACGACGCGGAAGCGACGCTGGACGCGAGGGAGTTTCCTGCGCCGCCTGCTGGCGTGCCGACGAATACGAGGACGCCGCCGGGGAGCGCGGGGTTTAGGAGTCCGCATGCGAGTGTGGACTTTAGGGGGGTGATAAGTGGAAGGTCGAGTGGGAGTTGGGGGAGGCCGGGGAGTTCGGGTGCGGGGATGGTGATAGGAGGAGGGGGAGGGGGTGGGGGAGGAATGGTGCAGAGTCCGCCGCCGATGGTCCGCAGCCCGCCGCCTGCTTTGCGCTCGCCGCCGCCAACGACGACTTCGGCACTCCGATCGCCGCCTCTACCGTCCACACCGCCCGCGCACTCTCCCCCCTTCCACACCGCCCACGCCAACCCGGCTCAATCGCCAACAATATCAACGCGCTCCAAACGCTCGCCCTCCCTCAACTCTGCCTCCTTCAACTCCGCCTCGGACGACGAAGGCGACGACGACTCATACTGGGACGGCGCGGGCGACATCTACGACGACTACCGCTACTCGCGCGCGTCGATGCTCTCAAAGGCGTCGAAGAAGTCCACGCGCTCGGCGCACAGCCATCATAATCATAATCATCATTGGGTGGAGGATATGGGCGGGCCGCCGAGCTTTCCGGAGGAGCTTAGGAGGCCGAGTTTGGATAGCGTTCGACCTATCTTATCCAGACTCAATACGGACGAGAGCGGTGCTACTGCTACGACGGAGGGGACGGGCGTGGACGGGGATAGGGAGGATGGGGAAGGAGAGATTGGGATTGATGTAGAGGCGGACGACGCGAGCGTCTACTCGCGCTCTTCCCTCCCTCCCCCTGCTCTACCAAATACAGCGACCACCAAACCGCTCACGCTGCGCTCGCGGCCCGCGCCGCTCACCGTCTCCAACTCGAACGGGCATTCCGGAGTCGAAGTGGAAGGCGAGTCGTATTCGTATAGGACGAGCACGTCGCCGCTGCTGCATACGACGTTCGGGCTGAACAGCCAGCATATGAGCTTGAACTCCGCGCACTCTGCGCACTCGGGTCAGGAGGGAGACGAGACGAGCCCGCTGTTGCATGGCTCTTTTGGAAGTCCGGGCGGGGAGCTCAGTCCGTTGCCTAATAGCCCGTACCCGGCGGCGGGGGAGCAGGGGCTGCCTACGCCCGTCACGCCGCACGGGAACGCGAAGGAGGGCGGCGCGGTGAGGCGGAGTCTGATGGCCGAGCGGCAGATGAGCGATTCGACCGTCGCGTCCAGCTCGTCGACGGCGCACGAGACGGCCCTTCACTCGAACGAGGGGACTCTTGGGGGACGGGAGATCACGCCGCTCGAGCGCGTGCTGAATAAGACGAAGGAGGCGTTGCTTGATTCGCCGTTGATCGTGGTCAACCCCGCGCCGGCACCGCCGCCGTATGCTTCGGCTGAGGAAGAGGAGAGGTTGAGGGAGGAGCAGAGGCGGGCGAGGCCTGTGAGCAGCGAGGCGACGTTCCACGATATGCCGACGCCCGTTGTGCCGCCTTCGCCCACCACACCCAACCACCGCACCTCAGGCCAAGGAGCGCTCCCGTCAGTCTTAACACCAGGCGCGGGTCTCCCAGCCGTCCCCCTCCCACCCGTCCTCCCGCCCGGCTCCGCACCCCAACTCCGCCCCCGCGCAACAAGCAACGCGCACGACCCCGCAACGCGCCAATCCCTCTTCGGCTCGTCCCGCACATCCGTGTTCGCGCCGCACCCCAACGCGCCCAAGCCCGCCCTCGCACCCACCGGGCCCATGTACGGCCGCATCCCGCTCCCCTCGCAGCACATCCTCCCCGCCGCGCAAACGCTCATCCAGACGATGCGCGCGGCTGCTGCTGGAAAGATATTGCCGAACGGGATGCGCAAGCCGGGCACGGTGTACGGCGCGATCGAGGGCGATCTGTTGGGGAGCAGTGGGCCCGTGGGCGTGCGGTGGAGTAATGAGCCGGTTAACGATGTGCCGGCGAATAGGATTCGGAGGGTGGGCAGCGAGGTCGTGTTGCCGGGCCCGGGGAGGATGGCGGGAGAGGGAGAGGGGGTGCCGGGGCGGAGCGCGAGCGCGCAGGCGCATGTCTCGACGACGAGTGGTGGGGGGATAGAGGGTGGTAAGGGTGCGCCGGCGCTGATACCGCGAGCGAACTTCTATCCGAAGGCGGGGGCGCCGAGGCCGCGGTCGAGGAGCTTTTCGTCGTTGGAGTCGCCGTATCCTATGCGGGGGAGTTCGAAGGATGCGAAGTGCGTTTCTATCTTCGTCTCATATGAGCGTAGTACTGATTTTTGGGTTGATAGTGTACCGCAAGACGACTCTGCTATCGTCGCTGCGAACCCGAGTCCGGCTCCTAGCTCGCATAATCCTCGAGGAGCGGCGGCGCGCGTCAGGCAGTACTCGCATACACCATCACCACTGGCTTTGCAGCAGACGACTGCGTCGGCGCCTACGTCTCCGCTCATGCCTCCCGCGCGTCCAGGATCTGCGCAACAGCCTAGCTCGCTCCCAGGCTCCCCGCGCTTGCCCAAACACCCAAGTCCGTTGACGATCGACGTATCCTCACCACCGACCATACCCGCCTCGCGCGCCCCGATCGTCGATTCACCCACCGAGCTGCGGTCACCAACTGAAGTGCGGTCACCGGCTGCGGACTCGCCCGTTCTCCCGCGACAGAGCACCGATACACATAACACGTCGCCGACACGTCGTCGTCGCGAGTCCGAACGTACAAGAAGGACATCTGGAGACAGCAATATGACGCACGCAAGCGAGGCCTCGGGTCTCACAGCCGGCTCACCCCGCCGCTCAAGTTCCCTCCGCTCAAAACTATCATTCTCCGCCCTTCGCGCTACGACTTCCCGCGAAGCGCCCTCGGAGGGGCAGAACACGGTGCAGGTGCAAGATACGGATTTCGAGCTCGTGGTGCCGAATGTTCCCGCGCTTCCTAGCTCGAGGGGGAGCGAGGACAGTCCGGTGTTGCCGCGCCCGTCGCCGAGCTTTGATGGGTCGATGTTGAGGGCGGATAGTCCGGCTATGAGTCTTGCGAGCTCGTTGCCGCGGTCGCCTATCAGTCCCAAGTTCAGTCCTGGTCCTCCGCCACCGCCTCCGCCATCTTCGGGACAACAGACGCACACCGCGGGGAGAGCGAGTATCGACAATGTCGAGGCGCATCGGCAGCGCGAGTCGAAATGGGTCGCGTTGCTCGGCGCAACGAAGCCGGCTGATGCGAGGAAGAACAAGAAGGTCCGCAAGCTGTTGCAGGAGGGCGTACCGGCGAGCGTGCGCTATCAGGTCTGGGCGCATCTGACGGACAGCAAGTCTAAGCGCTTGGAGGGCCTCTATGCGAGGCTCTGTGCACGGGGCAAAGTGGCGGCCAGCGCGGTGATCGAGAGGGATGTGAGAGAGTGTTTTGCGGGCGATGCGCGGTTGGCGGATCCGCAGGCGCTGGTGAACCTGTTGCAGGCGTATCTGGTCATGGTGCCGGATATCCAGTATCAGCGCGGTATGTCTGTTCTGACCTTGTCGAGTGGGTCTTTGTATACTGATACATGGATAGGTCTGACGTATATCGCTGGGCAACTGCTTATGCAGTCGCCTGAGGAAGACGCGTTTTGGATCTTCATTACGCTCATGGATACGCATCTGCGGCCGTACTTTGCTGCCAATAGCGCACAGCTGGAGGTCGATGCCGCGTTGTTCGCTCGTGCGGTTGAGGCTGCTGATCCTGCCGTTGGCAAACGGCTGTTCACGGACTACAGTATACCGCCAGTCGACGTTGTGCGTCCTTGGTACGTCGACTGCGTTACATGTGTTTGATTACAGGTGCTGATCATCGCATAGGTTCACATCTCTCTTCGTCGAGGCCCTCCCATCAGAGTACTTCCAACGTATCTGGGACATCTTCCTCTCCGAAGGCGTCGTCTTCCTCTTCCGCGCCGGCATGGCGGTCCTCACATGTACCCGCCGCACGCTCCTTGACACCAAAGGCGCAGATGCCTGCCTCGCGCTCCTCCGCCGTCCGCCGCAGCATCTCATCGCGGACCGCACGCCCGATGCGCTTGTGGAGCTCGCGTTGGCTGCGAAGCTCAAGGACGACGATGTTCGGAAACAGCGCATCAAGATGGAGGCCGCTGTCAAGCTCCAGACGCAGCACACGCGCAAGCCGCAGGGCGCCGCCGGCTCGTCGCCCGCTATCTCCTTACCAAATCGCACCTGATACTCGATGCTTGATGCCTCTACACGTCCTCTCGTTGACTATCATCTGTTCATACTGTTTATATCGAGGCTCTTGGCAGTTATATATATATCGATCACTCTACATTAGACGTCGCATAGTGTGCCATTCATACTGATACCACCCAGTCTCTTGGTTCTCGGCTCTTGCCTATCATTCGCGCTCGTATCGTTTGCTCTCCTGCACATCGTACATCGTATCCGGAGCTCGTTCATCTTCGTTTTCGTTTTCGTTATCTCATTTAGCTCTCGTTCCTTTGCAATTCATGAATCCAATCCTCCAAAGGCTCCAATCTGGGACAGCATGGTGAACGTCGGACGGCGATGCCATCGCGCTACGCGTGCATACTATATGGCTCATGGGAGGGCTCTTGCTGAATCTATGGGACCTGGGACGACGGATTCACGATCCATAGCGACGAGAGTCAACTAGACATACACATGGCTCGACAATGCGTGACGTAACTCGAGGACTACATAGATAAAGGTATACACAGTTAGAAGACAGCTGATGGCGCATTGAAGTCGAAGTACCTGTGTCCTATCCGTCCCGCGAAGCTCGCAAAATGTACAGCGAGCGAGACCATGAATGTCTCCCGCAAGTCGCGACTCGGAGTTAGACGCAGCTCGGGCCAATAGTCCGGCGGACGTGCTTCGGCCTTCGGCCGATCGCGCGAACGCCCGCACCTTCATTCGCATCCTCCATCGTCCACTTTGAATCCCACTTTCATGTCCATTGTTCAACCCGATGGCCTTCTGAGTAAGGTTCATTTGTATGGGTACAGATGTCGTTTCGGGCTGCTCATGGTGCACTTTGCGTAATCCTGGCCAACACTCAGCGCGCAAGTTCGCTTGAGGTCATCACGGAATCGCAGTCCGCTTTCAAGCTTCAAATAGTGCACAAATGCTACCCGGATACTGACCTTGGGTGCTTGCAAATTGCTTCCAGGTGCTTCTACCTGTACGGGCTCTTGATATCTCCAGCCTAGGGCCTGAGGGCCCGTTAGGCCTTAGGACTCAAAACATCGGGCATGAAGCCCGCGTGAGGCTTCAGCGTATGTACTGCCTTCGTTCCACGAGCCGTGGCCCATCCGTCTTCGGCACAATTCGAGTGTATCGTTCCGGACATGCTGGCTCCCTGATAAAGACAAGAGATACATCCGGCGACTGTCACTGTTAGTAAAGCACATCAACATCATAAGAAGTCGACAAGATCAAAGGTATCTCCATTCGCTGTGCTTTACGACTCCGGATATCGAGCTCCGGCATGTACCTTGGTGCTCAGCGATGAACGTGAACACCGTGATATCAGGCAGACAAGCTGATAGAGTACTCGCCGTTGGTGCTGGACGTACTTGCATCGGGCATCTGGGCCGCGTCTTCTTGACCATCTTTCGGTCGAAGTTGACCACGCACTAGTGACTCTCCGCCCTTTGATGAAGCGGGCTAGGAAAGGCTGTGTGATTGAGTACCGGATGTGATACTCGCTGCTACAAGTACCGCCGGAAGAACTTCAAGTAGCCGGCGTGGCGTATACAGCCAAAAAGGCTCATGATCAAGATGCATTGTACGTGGGATGTTGCGACGCGTAGATGCCGTCGACGTCAGGATGTTTTGATGCCAGATACGACGTTCGGACGAGCACATCGTCGAGTTAGCCGTATATGGAAGCTGTCGATCTCTTGCCTGCCTGTGGATACAGTCAGGGTTGGGTGACTGTCCAAGGGGGGACGCATAGCATCTTACCTGGCCCAAAAGACATCGAATTCAGCCTAAGTTCAGATCACCAGGTTATGGTAACATGGACGGCGCTTTTCCAGAGTCGCTCCAGAGTCAATCACCAGCGATATTCCATAGTCTCTTCCACCAAAATGATAGCACTCAATTGCCAGGCTTGTGGCGTCAGAAGTCAAATATGGCCCCTGTAAGTAATCGAGAACTCCATCGAACGACGCAGATTCACTGTTATGTGTCCGTAGCCCAGATCTAGAGAGAAGCGTTCGTCGTTTGACGATGTTGTATGCACTCTTGGGCAGATCCGAAAGGTATGAGTTGACCCTATCCAGGCTTGTTCAGGCTTGTTAAGGCGTGGACTAACTCACTGGCCACGAGACTGTGAGACATTGGTCACCAGGGACTCAAGGACCTAGGACTCTCAAGCCTGAGAGAGCTAACCTGCCCATATCGCTCTGCAAGGAAGACACGGTGGCCTTGTGACATTCTTAGCCTGCGCTGAAGCTTACAACAGTAGCATGTAGCCGCCGTCACTCAAGCTGCACAGTCTATGAAACGTAATGGCGACACCTAATGAGCAGAGGAGAGGGCCAGATGTGACGCGTGTCTTGCTGCTTGCATGACGCATGCTAGCGTTCCGACAAGAGGCCCATTGCGTGCGACTTCGCTCTTGTTCGTTGAGTCACTTTGCACCCGGGACAGCACCTCGTCCGTATGACACAAGTTCGAAACGAAGTCTACGCGTAAGCCAACTGTTACTGTGTCTTCGCAGCGCCTCCGACATTCCCCAGTTCCCGGCCCCGAAGCATTGCCGTCCGAGATCTGTAGAACGATCATAGAGTTCGATGGATAGGCGTAACCTCGTGAACCGAATAGGCATAGGATCATTAGCCCTGTACGTGATGTCCATGCGACATGATGCGCTCAGAAGAGGCACGTCGTAGTAAGAGGATAACCCGCGCGTTAGCGCCCAGCGCGGGATGTTCGCGTCAACTGGGGTAAAATGACCAGAATACTCGAGCGCCTTTTCATGCTTGCCGTGAGATACCTCTCGGATGACACTCCGAGATCAGTGTCGTCGGGGTCAGGCGCTTGTTTCCGTCGGAGATGTGCTTCAGACGTGGGCTGTGCCTCATGCTCTCAAGCGCCGTTTCACAGCAAAGGAACCATGCAGCGGGGTCATTGGGACGATTTGTACACAGGTCACGCAGCTAAGGTTTGGCATAGATCGTTCATGATATTGCTCAGATGCACAAGAAATGGAAGCGCGAGGGCAATGCGGGCAGGCGGGTTGCGTGTTAAGCGACGAGTCTGCCGGTTGAACGCCTCACACCAAGCTCAATAAGGGGTGGACTTGACGATGCGGTGGATTTGAGCGGCATCGCGATGAGGTATGCCAGCTGCAGCTTTGCCTTAGACGACCGCGCGATGATCGTGGGTTGAGCGTGTACTGCAGGAAGCAGACGCAAGCGATGCAAAGGAAATGCCACACTCGGAGGATCGTCCATGATAAAAGCAGACACAGGCTAATTCACGTAAATCAGCTGCGATTCAAGCGACTGTAGATCACACAGATAACCTACCACTGCTTCTCTCGCCGAGGTTTCCTCACAACGGACGTGCACGTTCAGCCAAGTTGGCCGCTCCAGTTTCTCCGCGCTCACAGTCCTGTCATTCGTGTCGAGGCGCCGTAGATGTTCTACATATCGCCGGATCCGGATCATGTATGTACCCCAACCAGCGAAGGCAAGCAGAAGAACGAGGACAGCTGCCTAGAGTGATTAGTGTTTGACGAATCGACGACATCACGAAGTCCAGAACGCACAAAGAACGATATACACTATACAAATCTCAGTGAGTACGGGTTCATACACACGATTAGCTTCGCGTACGATAGAATGTGCTTCTCCTGACGACAGGACCGGCCTGTGCGCCGTCGTTCCGGGAGTGGGCGGCCAGTAGCTTCGCTGCGGTCGGTACAGACGAGCCTTCAGCCGACATTCTATCGAGCAGACGTTTTTCGGAGCAGGAAAAGCTTCCCACAGCGTCGCCCCAGACTTTAAGTCGTGCTCTCCGCAGGCAGCCAGACCGGCATCGCCGATGCGAGGTCAAGTATAGCGACAGCGCGTCCATTACCAGTGGCATCATTGACGTTCTTGGGTATCTCCCCCAGTCATATGCTTCATCATGAGTGAAAAATGCCATTTCCATTAGGCCTTGAGGCATTGACGAGGTATCGTAAGACCATGAGGGAAGTCGCAGAGTGACAGCGCAGTCGAGCGCGCCGTTGGACGCGCGCGAAATGGGCAACGCGCGACTCAACTCGGACGACGAGCACTGCGCTTCCCGTGAAATTTCCCGCGGGAGCCTGCTCCTGACTATTCCATGGCATGTTGCTACTCGGTCATAGCGCTGGCGTGGACATAAGGGCTCAATTACTCTCTTCATGCTCAGTCGATCCGACGTCAATTTTCTCCACGCGGCGCGCCCTGCACTAGTACAACCCACAACAGACTCACCAGCCCGCCATATATGCTCTTGCTGCTACGGCCCAACTCAACTTCATGCATGCGGGCGCATCGACCCGGGTGTCATGAGTCTGCTTGCGATAAAAACCGATAGAGCATGTTGCGGGTTGTAGAGGAGCAAGACGAACCATGGCATCAACCCGAGGTCGTTGAAACTATCTCGGGAGGGTGCTGCTCGACACACCCGTCATCCAGTCTGTAGCTAGCCCGTCCTATTGTCTATCATTCCCAAATAGAGCACAAAAGCGAAGCTCAGTGTGTCCGTTCTCCAGGTGATCGTCGTAGGCCAGCTTTAGCCTGGCCCCAGGGACGCCGGAGTAGCTCGACATGATCGCCGACTCCGTCCTGGCTAACAGCGACTGGTATGTCTATGGACCCGGTCAACAACACCTCCGGATACTGCGATGCCTGTATGCTTAACCCGCATCGGGATCGTCTGTACCTAGCATGCACCGCACGCACACCTTGATGCCCGCGAACCGCCTTGCCTCACTTCCGGAGGGGATCCTCACCGCACCACCGCAGGGACTGGCACGTTGACCGTCCTCAAGGCGGCTCGTGAAAATGCAGGAATCTTCTAAAGGACCTCCGCGTTGCTAGATGCGGTGCGATAAGGGCGCTAAGTGTGAGAAAGAATGCTTAGTATGGTCCCTGTTTCCGAGATGAAAGGTAGGGAGAGGTTGATGAAAGGCGCACGGTCGCTCGGGACCCTCTTCCATACTTGTGGCTGACCGACCAGACCTCTCCTTACGGCCCCGATGGGCTCCATCAAAAGAAACCGTCATTCTTCTCCACGCATGCGTGTACATCCCCCACATATAGCTCGACAAGCACGGAGCTCCGGCAGGCGCGCAGACTTCCACCCCAATCATGTCCAGCGATCTGGAGGTCCTCGCCACCGCTGTCGAGCATGTTCAGCGCAAGATTGCCACCGTACTCCTGGGATCTGTGCTCTTCGGTGCGTCGCGTTACCTCAAGTCTTTCGATGTACTGACGATCTTACAGGTGTATTCACTCTTTTGTTCTTTTTCTCGTCCACAATCTTGATGTATGCCTTCATGTTCCAAACATGACGATCTTCCTCTCATCTTGCGCTCTTGTGACGCAGATATCGTGGTCTTCGCGTGCACTCATACGCTTTCCTATTCGCCACCACTTCCGCCATGTACATCGTCTCGACGGTCTACTGGATCGTCGAGACTGTCACTCTACTGCAGACGCTATACTTGCCGTCCGAATATGCATACCAATCGGAAGACTCGCTCATCCACAAGTCTCTTACGTTGACCGTCTGCCTCGGCCTCAATGTGCGTTATCGCTTCGTGTGTTTCTTCTATCCACAGCCTGACATCCGCATGCTCCAGGTGTTCTTTGGCGACGCAATCATCTTGTGGAGAACATGCGCGTTGTGGAAGGACAACAAATGGATCAGATGGATCTCGGTGGTGGCCTTCGTTGCGATCACGGGTGCGCCTGCCAACCAGTGACATCTTGCCTTGACCGTATCTCAGCGATTATCTATAGGTCTTGAGATAGCCGATGCTGCAACCTCGAAGTCTGACATTGCGAACTACACCACGAGTGTCGCACGTCTGCCTGTCGCTTTCAAGAACATCTACGGGGGAGTTTCCATCTTTCTCTCCCTTGCGTTCAACGTATGGGCAACGAGTCTGGCCGCCGCTCGAACATGGTAAGCATCTTTGACGACTATCCCTCACCGTCCGGGCTGATCATAGAGCGTCGTGATTGCAGGTTGTATCAACGAGCTCTGAGGCGCTCCCAAACCAGCACGACGGGCCTTACGCGCAAGTCATTAGTCTTGCTCATTGAATGTGGCGCTTTGTACTGTATAGTTTGGGTACGTCTTCCTCGCGGTGCTATTACTGTATGATCTGATCATGTGATAGACCGCATTCATTGTGTTCTCCGTCTACCGCGGTTACGATCCGGAAGGGGCGCCTGCGTCGTATGCTCTCGATCAAGCCGTCGTGCAGCTTTCAGTACGTCCAGCCAAGTACCGCTCTGATGGTGTCTAACAGACGTCAGGGATGCTATCCTTGCGTCATTGTAGTGCTCGTCTGCTTGCGAAAGGCTCGCGACAAGCATGATTTCGGATCATTAGAAGCCCCCCGATTTGGACAAAGCCATCCCAGCCGTTCACTCCTCCCCCAATCACCCACCGCCGCGAAGACATCCGTCTCCATCTCGATTCCGTCGCCAGTCTTAACTTCTCCGAGTCAGCAGCAGTTTGAGCTAAAGACTTACTCGTTCGGACAGGCCTTGTAGATTACCGGAGGTTCGAGGTCGTTACGCTATGTCCCTGTCTTTCTTGACCTTTGTCTGCTCGATTACCCCTGAATCTCTCCCTCACATACTATGTCTTACATCCGGAATCTCGCACATGTGTCTGTATTTCTAGTCAGTGGATGTACCAACCCTTACATACCCCATTCGAACAATGAATTCCCGTCGATGACAATCCGCATTCTCCAAACAGTAGTGATGTGATTTGTGCAGGGGGAAATTACGCGTAGGTGTCCTGAACTCGCTCATGACTACGGTGCCGAGCCAGGATCCGACTAACTCCTTCATGTGTGAATGTGAAAGGTGAAGCCCAGGTGCAATAGTAAGGTGAGAACCCAACACGTATCAGGATAAATGCAGTTCAGAGCCTGGGGGTGATATACTTCTTCACCGAGGCCGGGTCCAGTACACTCTGAGGGTACGGGAGCGTGAGACCACGTATTGACTCGCTGGCCCCGTCTACGGCTATGACTTGCCCAGTGACAAAGCTCGCGGCGTCGCTGAACAGGAATACGGCCGTGTTAGCGATGTCGCGAGAGTCACCCATGCGTCCCAGGGCCGTTCCCCACGCGAGCTGGGACTTCTTGCCATCATCACCTATCGCGGCCAATCGCTCCATACCCTCCGTACCGGCGATTGGACCAGGTGCGATAACATTTGAGCGGACTCCAAAAGGACCCTCTTCGACAGCGAGAACCGCAGACGTCGCATCGACGGCAGCCTTCGCCGCGGAGACGTGCACTTGGTACGGGGTCCCTGCACACTACGTGAGTATCCATCGCGGGAACTGGCACGAACTAACTTACCACGCCAGTGTAGGGTCGCGCTTACATGGATATAAGACCCCTTGGAGGCGCGGACGTGCGCGAGAGTCGCCTTGATCGTGTGATAGGTTCCCAGCTATCGTTTGCAGTTGAGTCAATGCGGGCAGGAGGCAAGTCGACAACGTACTGTGTCAATCTCGATCACGGTCCGGAAAGCATTTTCTGACAAGCCTGATATCGGAGCCAGGAAATTGCCAGCAGCGCCTGAAGGAATGGGTCAGGGAGCACCCGCGTGTCCTGAAACCCAGAGTACGAACCGCAAATGACGAAATCGATTCTGCCGAACTCTTCGATCGTCTTCTTGACAGCGTCCTGGAGTGTCTTCGGCTGGCGAACGTCAGCTTGTGCAGGGATGCACTTCTGCCCGGTAGCATCGGAGAGCTCTTGGGCGGCCTTTGTGAGGCGGTCAATCCTATAAGGTGTCAGATTGCGCCCAACTCTAGGAAAAAGTGGAACGAACTTGCGCCCAACAATGGTGGCGTTCGCGCCGTGGCGCATCTGTTGTGCTAGTGAGTTCTGTCAACATGGAACCGACAAGAGGTAACACTCACGATAGACTCAGTCATCACGCGACAGATGCCCGAGCCACCGCCGGTACAGAATAGAACTTTGCCCTTGAAGATGTCAGGCTTGAAAACAGCCGTCGAGTCGACGATTGGAGTAGTCATGGTGAACTATCGGATTTGGGTCAGCTCAAGCTGGCCCATTCATGAGGTTTGACCGTCGCATAGGTGAGAACGTGTCACTCAGCGAAGTGAGCGTCTGAGGTAGGGTCGAATACAACGCATATTGGGTTATGGCAGAAGCCGGAGCCTCATACAGGCATAGTCTGCTTTCGAGCCAGAATGAAGGAACCGCGCAACGAGTCGGTGATTTACGTAGACACCGGGATAAACGGTGTATCAACTCCAAGTACGACGACTGACCTGAATCTAAATTGAGGTGTTAGCAGGAGGTGGTGGGCAGTAAAGGAAAGACGAACAACAGCAATACCCGTCGCTCTCCCCAGTGGTTGCTGAGGGTAAGTATGTGACCGAGACTCCGAGATGCCGGATGCGGGGTAAACACGTGCACCGAAAGCTCGGGCCGAAAACCGGCTGACGCCCCGAGTTCTTCTCAATCGCGTCGGCGCGTCTTTCAGCTTTCAGTTCTATCCCCACATAAAGTACCTGCTACCCTTCACCGCCGACGGCAGCTGTCTGTGCATCCTGCGATAACCTCAACACCTCCACTTAAGGCGTATGGGCTGGCTACGTCACTGCCAAGTGGAAAGTCCATTCAGTACGACGTGGTGATCAGTGGCAGTCTGATAGCAGTGAACATAATGAATGGATGAAGCATCGACGGAGAACAGGTCACTGCGGTTCATTGTCCCGGATGCGAAGCATTAGACTTCATAATTTCCCCATACATGTTAAGCTCGACTGGATACGTGCCACGGCGAGGACCAGGTGCTGTTACGAAATGTCCGGCCTTCTACAGAAGACCGTATCCGACCACCGGGGCCGTTCGATGCAATGTCGGACCTCAATTGAGGTCAAAGCACCGTTCCCCTGCCGCTGAATTGACTTCTATACCGGTTGCTGTAGCGATCGCAATCGAGTTGTGCGAGCTTGTGCGTAGGCCGTAGGGCCAAGTGGGTGTTGGTATGAGCTCGACTGGTACGGTTTCGCCTTCACCGGGCCGCTCTAGGGCACTCGCCTTGCAGGACACTCTCGAGCTTATCGTTGACAAGCTTACGTCCAGCTCTCGGCTTGATACCGGCTTGCGTATCCGTGGACTTCACTCGGCGAGGACGAGAAGCGCGTACATATGTGACGCCCCTGCTTGCGCTTCGCACGTTCTGCGGCGATCTACCTTCCTTGTCGTTCTCGCCCTTCTTGCCGAGAGCACGTTTCACACTTCCTACGTACCCACTCCGCGCGTTCGAGAACTGCATTGTTCCAGGCCGAACTGAATGAAGCGTAGGAAGGCAAATCCTCGAGGGTATGTGCTCACGATGACGAGTGTGGCTGAGGGCTTCTACCACAAAAAGGGAGTAGCCTTCTGGGAGTGACATACCCGTAAAGGGGGGTTACACATGTACCATGCGCTCCTATCAGCCTTTACCGCTCCAGTAAACGTATCAATCGTGGTTCGTGATAGGTGTCACAATTCCCGTCAAGTCGTTCACACATTGGGCTCACCATCATCTGACCGGCGGCGGTGGTGATTACCTGTGTACTAACGTATTCGGCGGAGGACAATTATGTCTCTGTGTGTCCGAATGAAGAGCCAGAGATCTAGTTGGATACTGTCCTGAGCAGCATAGGCTGTATAGACAAGTGTGATATATAGAGACAAGGACGGATTGACCCAAGGGAAAACAACAGCGACAAAACAAGATAAAGTCCGAGCGTAAAATGTGCGGGATATGCGGTATGATACAATCGGATTCAAGACCGTTTGGAGAGTAGACCATCTCTCGCATTCGAAAGCAGGAGCGACAACATGAAAAGAGGCGGATTATAGTGCAGAAATGGCGTAGCAGTTACAGAGATCATCGGTTTCCAGCGCGGTCCCACAACGCGCCACTAGGAGACGGGTGTACGTTGTGCAAGGTGCCTGGCGCGTAATCCGAGGCTGAATGCGGTACAGACGATGATAGGGAACGCGGGAGGTGCGAGGGATTAGCATCCGCTGGTGCCGAACTGGACACAGCATATCCGTGCCCGTGCCCGTACGTCAAGGGCGCAGAGGACGAGTACGTGCTGGCGTAGTACGACTCGCCATGGTTGTGCGACGAGCTGAAGCTCTCGACTCCTGGCGACGTGGATGCCGAAACGTAGGGCGACGAAGAGGAGAGACCATGTCCATGTAGCGAGGCATTGCTAGAGTTGCTCGGAGAGCCACCGGATGTTGCCGCCGAAAATGGCCGCCCGGGAGGCGGCGAAGGCACATTGTGTTTGCCAGCCAATGACCCAAGCGACCGCTGCTCTCTAAGCTGGAAGGGCGGGTTCCACGTTTGGCCAGAGGAACTTTGCCAGGACGACGATGTGCGATTGGAGGACGTATAGTAGGATGGGTATGGGGACGGAGAAGGGAGAATAGTCGGTGAGTGACTCGGGTGTGGCGGGCGAGGTGTCGCCGGGCCGCCTTGAGAGGGCACATAATTCAAGCGTGGTGGCAGATGCGCATGCGTATGAGACGAATAACGATCGCTTGAATGCCCGTACGGAGAATATCCGTGGTCGTTGTGCGAGTTGCCGTACTGGCCATCGGAGTGCCGAGAGCGCCCGTAATCGTCTTCTGGTGAAGGCCAATCGACACCATGCGCACCGTCAGGTGAGTCCTCCCCCGTGTCGCCTAGCTGGTCGTCGTGCATGATTTCGTGGCCCATCTCGCCCCGGCGCGGCTTCTTGCGAGAGTTGTTTGGGCGGCGCCGATAAACGTAGTCAGGGTATTTCGCGTTAAATACATCCTTTAGCCTCTTGGCTTGGTCGAGATAGAACTCCTTCTCTGACTGGGAAAGTGCGCTTTAGCACATGGCAACTGGGCGCATGGACACAGTAAACATACCATAGGCATGTTCGCCCATTCTCGAGATAGGATCTTGCTGATCTCTCCGGTGCGCATCGCCTGGTTGGCAGCTGAGACCTGTGGTCTTCTGCGTCTGGCAAAGATCATGAACGCGTTCATGGGCCGCCGCGGGGTACCGTCCGTGTTGAGTGATTGCACGATGAGCTGGTCATCGTCTATGAATGTCAATAACGGCGTTACAACGAAGTTCAACAGATATGTAACGCACCGATGTGTTTGATATGCTTCTCACTACCGCTGCTTGAGGGTTTGCCCAACGCGCTCATGCCCATGGTGTCGAGACAAGTAGTATTCGTAGAGCTATGCTCGTCGTAGCTAGACGAGTTGGATGGTGACGGCGAAGGATCACTAGGAATGAGCTCGTGCCGACTCATAACATAGGTAGGCCGACAGGAGAGATTAGACAAGGCCGAGAGTGCCGTGTTGGGCGGGTGTCAGAGTGAACGCAAATGGGTGTCGGATCCAGTCAAATGTTGCGCAGGTCTATAAGGCGGGCAGGAGAGACACAGCTGTGATCGGAATGGCGTCAGGGCGTTTAAGAGGGGCAGGGGCCTCATTGCGCGCTCGGTGGTTTAAAAACAACGAACAAGACGAAAAGGCCTAGGTAAAGGTACAAATGAAATCAACCCCAGCTGGGAGGCATCGCTCCCGTCCTGGAGCCAACAGCCCGGCTCGGCCACTCCGCGCGTCTGGCCCTTGATCTGACCGCTTACGCCGGCGTATCCAAGGAAATCAACGGGACATCGAAATACAAACAATGACGGTGATGCGAGCGACACACAAGACGAGGCACTCGCAGAGCAAAGTAGGTACGTTCTATGCACGGCGCGGAGGACGTTCAAGGACGTTCAGGAAGAAGAGCGCGACAAAGGTTGGCGCGCGGCCGGCGCTCGTCGGGCTGATAGCGCGGAGTCTGAAAACGCGGCATTTGCCGCCTCGGTGGATCTTCGAATCTCGAGGGATTCTGCAGCTGCATCCTTGGTCGCATGCAGGGTTGTCCAACCCGAGCTAGACCCCAAACAAACTCACAGACCGCCGCCCGACGCGCGCGCTGCGCAACGGCGGACTCATCGACGCTGTGTGGCGCACATATGATACATCAACTGGTCTCGCGGACCAGCAACGGCCTCAGACCGGCACGAGGCGTTGGGCTAGTCTGGATTCCCAACTGCGCCTATCCCTATAGAGAAACCCTTCACGCATCTAGTACTGTAACGTTAAGCATGTCACACTGGTGTTGACGCGTGCTACCAACCTGCACATTCATCCAGGCTGCTCACAATGGGCCGTCCGACCTTTCCTTAGCTTCCGTTCCAATCGCGCCTGTTGTCCTTCGTCCTACGTAAACTGCTTATGAACACGGGATGAGGACCGTCTGCTCTTCTCAACCAGTATCAGGGGGAGATCGGGCGCATATACGAAAAGATGCGCGCCGAAACCTAATGTAACCCTTTTGGGACGTGTGCGTGTTTGCAGAGACCGCCCACGCAGCTTTCTCCTCCTATACATTGCAGACTTCGCGCTGAGCCTCATGTCATGCAAGCCATTCAATTCCATTCAACGGAGCGCCCGCCAATACAATTCTCGTCGGCGAGGTTGTGGACCGCCACCTCGTCGTGCTGAAGACCCCTTGCGATCCCGGATCCCGTCCTGAGCACGGCCTCAACGAGCGAAAGGCCTCGCTAATCCTTTCCTATCCTTCCCCTCATCAGAGGTGCGATCTCGACGCGTAAGATTGGGTTGGTTCAGCGGCCGCGCTGGAGGATGCATCAGGCCCTTTCTGGAATACCAGGCGGGAAGGAGATTCAGGCGCTTGAATCTTGATGGGGAGCTTCGCGCGCGGCGACTCGTCTGGCGCACATGAAAGGTAACTTCCCGGAGGGTTCACTCCGTCCAAGGCCTCCGCCGACAAGATACCAGCCCTGAGCAAGAAAATTAGAAGATGGATGCGGATGACAAGGTCCATGGACTACGGGATGCTGAAGCGCAACTGTTTGTACGTTCTCATGGCAAAACAAAGGGATGCACGAAGCCGCAGGCCGCAAGACTCAAACTTGCGCCGCTGCGTCAGGCACGAAACGACGCGACAAACTACCTCCAACAGCCCGGTCGGCACGTACTCTGCGGAACACTCGGTCTGTACACCACTCGCTCGGAAGCCGTTGACGACCATCAGAGCGGACGCTCTTCGAAAGCTGACAAGGCATTTGGCCTTCTTCATACGAGCAAGCGCTCGCGAAGGCACGAAAGGGAACACGAATATCAACGGCACGGGCAGTCAATGGTCCCCGATCGGGGAGTGGCACTCTGTGTTGGGCGGACCTTCCAAGGACCTCCGGTGGACTTCGGAGCAAAGAAGGGCAGTCCGTTACTCGTTTGATATGAGGTGTAGGCAGGTATTGATGCGTGATCTCAACTTGCCGCCGGCCAGTTCGATAAAGAGACATCCGGTCTGGTGGATTTGAGAGGGGCCGACGGGTTCGAGAGCACGAGCGGTCGACGTAGGGGACGCCACATGCACAACACGGCCCGGCTTGCCGCGGCGCATTGTGCGACGGGGACGGATCTTCCACGACGCGCACGAACAAACGACGAAAAATCGGCGCGAAGAACCAGCGACAGAGTCTTCGCGAGCGGCGCGCTGCAGACGAAGCTCGTGGCCATACGCGTGCGCTAGGGCTTCTCCTCCCACCAGACGTACAGCTTCATCTGATACCTTTCTTAGGGGGCCCGTCATGGAGCCGTCGAGGTCATGCCGCAACTCGATCGCATAGTTTCAAAGGCAAGCAAGGGCCGTTAGACTTTATTCAGGTGGGCAATCCCAACGGAAGAACATGTGCAAAGACCGACATTGTACGTATTCAATCGGTGCGGCCGACCTGTTGCCCAGTTACGCAGCGATGTCTTAAGGCCGCCGCCCGAGTTCGGTCCACGGACCCCGAAAAAAGTCGCGTACGGTCTGTCACGAGTGCGATAGGTACCGTCAAAATGAAGATGGGGAAGTGCGATGATTACTAGCGGGCGCACAGGTTGTAGCATCCGAGATGCCAACATTCGGTCAACATCACGGGAGGCTGTTTGGGTCTTTGCTAGAACGGTAGATAAGCTTAGGTCGGCATATCGGCACTGCAAAGGTGATCTGGCTGTGCTTACCTTAGGGTAATCGGTCTACGACCTGACTTTGTTGCGTCAATCCGGGGTAGAACGAGATCTAAACGTGTTCGGTCAGCGTTGAGTTCGACCGAATGCAACCCGTTGATTGAGATCAACGACGATCGAGCTGGCGGCCAGATGCGTGCGAAGCGGCGAGTGGAGGCTTTACATATATATTGCCATTCGTGTGAAGGAAAGAGACTGGGATGAAAGCGGTCGAGTCTGATATGGACGACGGCGTACATCGCACCCAAGTTGGGTTGCTAGCTGGCTATAGTGGTCCAGAGTCGCGGGCCTGCGGTGAAGGGGGCTGAGCCAACTCGTGCTCCGTTTCTCGCTGCCAATAGGCCAATACGGTCGCGAGCGATACGATTGAGGACAGATGAAGGAGCTCACAACGATGCCATCTCTACAGGTGATAATCATCAATTCGGAAGAACGGAGTGAGCCCGAACTATAACTCACGAGGCGGCGCGTATGCAAACCTACCGAGGTGGCGTAGAGCCCATCACACCCTAGGCAGTACGTCGAGACCTGTGTGTATTAATCATACTGTGCCCGCCGTGTCCGGTAACTCGTACCAGAGCCATGCGCAAGAAGGCGCGAGGATGTACCCTCTTTGCTCTGTATCCAGAGGAATCCCAACAGGGTGCAGGGTGGCCCGGGTGCAGGGTGGCCCGTGTACATGGTAACATGATATGATGCGGCGGCGTCGGTTCAGACCACTTCGCTGTGCACACGGATAATATCTTGAAAGCCGGTAGGCCCTCTGGCTGTTGTAGTCCACGCGAGGGCTAGCCACAGAAGCACTCCGATTGAGTAAACGAAGGCCACGGCTCGGCACGGAGCGTTGGCTGCACAGCCCGCGCTCGAGAATGACCACCAGAAGGCTAAAAAGATGCCGCTAGGCTTGCAAGCTGAAGATGCTTCTATGATGTCGAGTACGTGAATAGGCACATATAGGAGGGAAATGTCCGGCGGTACGATGGTCAGGACCTGCACACGCTATTTAGTATTCGGACAAGCAGTCGATGTGCGGGACTGATGATATGTTTACTTGTTGAGCGACCACGTCACATTGGTAATCCTTCGTCGCCGAGCAACACACGCTGCTATGGCCAATCATGATCGCGAGTGGAAAACCTTTGCGAAGCCAGCAGCACGATATTCGAAGTAAACGTACGCAGCCCTGAGTCTTGATAAAAATGACGCTTCAAGGTTTAGGAATAAATGGAGAATCTCGGGGTTTTCAGACTGCGAGAGTGGTACAAGTTGAGATTGGATTCTACGAGGACGGAGCAAGGGTCGAATGACGACTGGGTGGATCCAGGACGACAAAGGCTCTGAGATTGGGCGGCACCTCAGGCCTGGGTTCGCCCATGTATACGAGTGGTAGAGATACGGCGCCCACGTTCATGGGTGTAGGAAGGAAAACGAAAACATCGCCGTCAACGGACGCGTCAACGCGATCGGGCCGTGTCACCGTGTGACCGAGCGCGTTGAACGCGCGAGGCCGAGCAAGGACCGAGACGCGCCTCACCTTGACGCTCGACGCCCATCTTCCTACGAGGCGACTGCCTACTTCCTCTCTGGCTAGGGTGGAGGTGGTTCGAAATAACATGTCCAAGACTCCCAACCTTCTGCAAGGCCATAGATTCTTTGTCACGTTCTGCTACCTACCAGATGAGCAGATTAAGCTCCGAAGCCTTCTCGAACTTAACGGTGGCACCGTCGTGGAGACTGTGCAGGATGCGGATTACATCGTTACGGATACTTGGGAGTTTGAGGATAAGGACGATATGCCTGAGAACTCTGCGCTAGTCACAGTACGTCATTCTGTGATGCTTAGTTGTCGCCCAGACCTAATACCCGCCACAGCGAAAATGGGTAGAGAAGAGTTTAGTACAAGGGAAGCTTCTTGAGTGCGTGTTGAATAATTCTCTGCGAGACAGATTCTCATGTGCCATTGATAGACTGAAGGAATATTCTCCGGATCCGTCCAAGTTATTCTCGGGTGTGGTTGGTTGTGCGACCGAGGTGCGTAGTCAACGAATGGGACTTGCTTCCAGAGTCCTTTCGATACGCTTAGCGGGACGAGTTACTCACTAAATTTTACCACAGTTACAGAGCTCAGACGTTGAGATCCTATCTACTGTGATTGAGTACTTGGGCGGCAGCTGGCGGTCTGGCTATACACGCGACGTCACCCATCTCTTCGCTATACGGGCCGGATCTGACAAATATCAAACCGCGATGCACTTTCAAAAAGAGACGGGCGTGAAGGTCGTCGTTCCTCACTGGTTCGACGACTCCATACACTTCGGCTGTCGCGACTTGGATACTACGGCGTACGAATGGCCGAATCCTGAAGTCCTTTCAGGTGGGCCGGCGGTTAACAGGATCAAGCCCATAAGAAGACCCGACCTCAAGGCTCTGCATGATTTGCCAGGAGAGAAGTTGGACCTCTACGAGAACGTGATGGCGGCTGGCGAACCCTCTCACCAGAACCTGCCGAGGAGTCTGGTCAACGATGTTTGGGATGGACGGAAGATCCTGTTATCGCCTGACCTCGAATTGTCGCCTGCCGGTCTGAAAGTGGTTAAGGAGAGTATCGAGCGTTGTGGCGGCGAAATAATCGGATACGGGGACGACTTTGACGCGGTGACGCTTGACCAATTCGACGTTCTCGTCGCGCGACACCGCTGGGGTCACATGTATCTCCAGGTGTGTACATCTTCTCCATCTTCTATAATAGTTCGCCAGGGCTTATGCATCGTTGAAGGCTGTGCGCGCGAAGAAGACGGTTGGCAGCTTAGCTTGGCTATTCTATGTCCAATCTACTGGCGCGCTGGTCTCTCCCATAGACCAACTCCTGCACTTTCCGATACCGAAGAATCCCGTGGCGGGCTTTGACAAACAGGTTCATCTACTTCTCAATCACTACACAAGATGCATGCTCAGGTTACAATCAGGAAGTCACCGTCACAAACTACACTGGACAGTCGCGAGATTACTTGAAGAAGCTTATCGATATCATGGGCGGCAAGTTCACGGCCAGCATGTCAGGCAAGAACACTGCCCTCGTCGCCGCGTAGTATGTCCGTTCCCCGCTCACCGAGGGATTATATCGGCTGACGTCGCCAAGTTTGAACGGACAGAAGACCGACAAAGCGCAGGGCTGGGGCATACCCATCGTTAACCATCTTTGGCTTGAAGACTGCTTCCTTCAGTGGAGGACAGTGAGCGTGGGGACGGAAAAGTATGTGCACTTCCCGCAGGGCCTTAACTTCGCGGTACAACTTGGCCGATCAGGGTTGGATTGGCAGACCCTGTTGGACGGCACACAGGATGTGGAGGAGGCGATGGAGAAGGATCGATTAGCTCGTGTGATGGCCGAGGCACAGGATGGTCTGGAGGGACCGAATGCGGGCGACGGCGCGGAGATGGAAGTTGATGATGGTGACGAGGAGGCGCCTGCAGATGAAGACGCCATGGATGTCGACGACGCTCGGCCGCCCACTCCACCACCACGGGAGGCACCCAAGCGGGGCGTCAAAGGGTCAGCGAAAACCACGCCTCGGCAGGCGCCTGGGACTACCTTGCGCAAGCCACCGGCGAGCTCCAAGAAGCAGACCTCTGATGGTGAAGCCAGCTCTCACGAAGACGAAGACGTACAGTCCTCTCCTACGCGCAGACCCCGGGGACGGCCAAAGCGCTCTTCCTCTCGGTCGGGCAACGCACCCAAGCCGAAGCCCACCACGGCCTCCCGCCCGCGCAGGTCGACCGGTGGAAGAGCGAAAGCCGACGCGTCTCCCACCAAATCTGCGCCACACGCTAGCGACACTGATACTGACGCTGCTCCCGTGCCCTCTTCCTCCGCTCAGCGGGTCACCAGGTCGATGAGCCGGCAGCGTGCTGATGATGAAGACGATGAAGCCCCTTCGAAGCCACCCTCCCGCGCTGCCAAACCCAAACCGTCTACGAGAGCGCGAAAGGTGACAGTGCCGTCTGAAGACGAGGATGGGGCGGATGAGGCGGATGTTGTGAACCCTCGCGGCAGGACACGCTCTCGTGCAGGTCCCAGTGAGCCCCCGTCCAAGTCCAAGGCGTCGGGGACCAAGTCCACCGCAAAAGGGAAGGGAAAGGCTCCCGAGTCCCGTGGTACTGCCTCTCGCTCAACGCGTTCTAAAGCCGCGCCTGTAGACAAGAACGACGATCATACGGACACGGAGTCTGAGGACGCTAGTCCTACGAAGGCTGCTCAGGCGCGGAGAACTGACAAGGCCAACGCGGCCTCTTCCCCGTCTAAGACGTCAAAACCGACGCGACGGCTGTCGGTCGTTATGCCGCCAGTCGGTACCGGCCGTTCACTTTCCCAACAGTCCGTTTCTCGAAACGTATCGCCGTCAAAGGACAAAGGCAAGGGCAAGGCGCTCCACAACAACGCCGCGGGCACCGCTACCGACTCGGACGAAGACGAACCTCCCACACGGACGGCTCCATCTAAGACGCCCGCAAAGACGCCTGCGAAATCTGTGCCTCAAGATCTGACGACCCCTTCTACCGCCGGCCGGGCACGACGTACTGCTGCAGACAAAGCTACGCGGCGTCTACATGACGAGATCATGCCGGACGTCAACAACTTCCAACAGCAGCTTCGCCGTGGCAACGTGCGAGCCCTAGGAGAGAAGGAGCGTGAAGCGGAGTCTCGTGCGAAGGATAAGGGCAAGGACAAGTCGAAGAATGATGAGGACAAGAAGCGCCGGCGGGGAAGTGCGGACGATGAGGAGGAGGATGCGGAAGAAGAGGAAGAAGAGGGGCGCGATGTCAAGAAGCCGCGAACATCTACCAAAGGCAAGGCGAAAGCTGGCTCGGAAGATGTCGAGGACTCGGCAAAGAAGCGTACGGGCAAAGGCCGGGCGAAAGCCAAGCTTGCCGACGGGAGTGACGATGAAGGGGAACGGTACGCGTCTCGTTTTGGCGATATTACTCTGCGCTCACATAATTGTAGGAATCAGGTCCGTCTCATGACTACCGGCTGGTCCATGGCCGACGCCATGGGCAAGGTATGTTCTTACTCGTTATGTCGCTTCTCGATGTTGTTCCTGATACCCTTCGCAGAAGTTGCAGAAGCTCGGTATGAAGCTCGTGTCCGACGTGAAACAATGCACCCACCTCGTCACGAACCGCATTGCGCGCACACCCAACTTCTTACTAGCGATGGCCGTTGCCCCCATCATTGTGGACCAGTCATGGCTTGATGCCTGTGTCAAGAAGGGGCGCATCCTGCGTAAGCATAGCCAACCCTGTTCCTCGTGTTCGCCGCATTGACGCCCAATCCAGCCACAGACGCAGGCGAATATGATCTCAACGACCCTGCGACCGAAGCCAAATACGACTTCAAGCTTGCGGAGGCTATTAAACGGGCAGCCGACAACAAGGGAACCTTGTTCGAGGGTATGACCTTCCACGTAACAAGGTCGGTCGAAGTGGACCACAAGGTCTTACGCGGCGCCATCGTTGCTCATGGCGGAACGGTAAGCTTTCTGATATGTGGCTGTCAACTACAGATACTGATGTCGGCTACGTCGCCTAGATGATTGACAACGCCACGCTCAGTGAACGAACGTTGCAAGGCAAGAAGGAGCACTACGTGATAGCTTCCCCGGCGGACGACAGGAAATTCCCACTCCTCCTCAAAGGCGGCCATACAATATACACGCCGGAGCTCGTCCTGACCAGTGCTCTCGTCCAGGAGATACGGTGGGATAACCCGGCCTCTATCCTTGCAGCGCCCTGATTTCCGGCCTGTTTTGACCATTCATTCTTGCGCATCTATCTAGTTGGAATCTAGAGCCCCGTAGTTTCTTGATGGATCATGTATACATACAACGTTAACGTTCGCCATGACTGCCCATGGAATCTGAACATCAGCTTTAGAATGCTTTGATCACAACGGCTAAGCGTGGGAATGTGGTTACAGGAATTCAACGTGAAGGTGGCGGCCGAGTTCGGCGCTTACCAGCGGCCACCACGGGCACTACCCTCATCATCTTGATCGCTTTCCCAGCCGTCCTTTTCCGGTCAATCACAGCGATATGGAAGCGCGCCGCTCTCGAGTCGAACGGGAGACGCTCATCCTCGATGCGAAGTTGGAGATCCTCCACTCACAGCAGACAAAGCTCAATGCTCTGCTGGCCTCGGTCAACGACGACTTGAACGAGCTTTCAAGGCAACGCAAGTTTCTCAACGACACACTAATACCGTTCTATCTCCTTCCGAACGAACTCATCTGCGCTATCTTCAACTTCGTCATCGATTCCTCTCCCCCTCCGCCACTTGATGCCTTAGTCGATATCGTACCCTTACGGCTGTCACAAATCTCCAGCAGGCTAAGAGGTGTTGCGCTCAGCCGAGGAAACTTTTGGCGACGGTTCGTACTCCAGGCAAGCGACACCGAAGAAAGCGGACCTCGCCCCATCACCCGTCAGTTCCTATCTAGGCTTGGACATGCTCAACGTGTGGACGCATTCTACTACAATAATGCGGCTGCCAAGCTGGACACACAATCCTCGCGGCTGCTCCTCCTGATCAGACTACCGCCTATCTCGTCTCTTACTATCGACGCCCAATCCTCAGCCATGCTCGATTTAGCGAGCCATCTCTCCATGGGTCTAATCGCCGGTCTCAAAACCCTGACTTCGCTGACTCTTCATATGCGTCGCGCTTCCCTGCCTGAACTCGCCTCTATCGACAGACGCCTTGGATATCATCGAACTAGGGCCAGCCCTTCTATACCGCAGGATCTCTTACTGCATCTTACGCACCTAGAGCTCAAAGACGTGCCTCTGTCCGTAATCCCCGCCACGCCGCTTCCCCGACTACATGATGTTTCGATCGAATTCACCTGCATCTTCGATACCTTCCACGACGCCTTGGGCGAACAGATACCCGCGTCACATACCTCCAACCAATACCTCGCTCGCTTCTTCCGCTGCGCTCCGAATATCAAACGCCTCGCGCTCCTCGACGCGGGTCCCTTCTTCCTCAAACCTCTCAACCCGGGCTTGAACGCCGAAGAGTTCTGGGCTGATCAATCCTCATGGCGTGCAGAGCCGACCGAGGTCCCGCCAGTTCCTCTTACCGAACTCCGCGAGCTGGAGTACACGGCCACGCAGGGACCAGCTTTCTTCCACTTTCTCTCATTCTTTCCCTCGCTGGGCCTCGAAGAACTTCGCATAGGCATTCTCGACACCCATCGCAACGAAGGCGAACCTGTTCGCGGTCCACGTCGCCTTATAAGAGACAACATGCTCCCCGAGAGCATGGACGGCGTTCTGAGCTCCATTACGCTCCCTTGCCTACGCTCAGCTCGCGTGGAAGTGACCTCAGGGGAAGGGTGGAAGTACGCGTTCAACCGTATCCTCATGCCGGCGCTCGAGACGCTCGTCATGGAGAACGTCAATGTCGCGCATCCCCTAATGAAGTGCATGCACCAGGCCGCCGGCGCATGCCTCTCGTGCACTTCGCCCTTCGCCGTTTTGCATCGCGTCGAGAGCATATTCCGCGACCCGCGCCTTGTGAAGCTGCGTCGCCTGGAGTTCGCAGGCGTGGACATACAAGAGCGCGATGTTGCCGAGAACTGGGTGGGCTACCTTCCTGCGCTGAAGGAGCTCGTGTGCGACTACACACGTGGGGCGAACCTACTCATCAGCTCTCTGGCACCGCGCGGCAATGGCGCGCTGGTCCCTTGTCCAGCGCTGGAGCGTATCGAGCTCTGGGGCTGCCCGGATGTGGATATCGGGAAATCGATCATGCGTGCGGTGGAGAACAGGCTCAAGGCGAGCGAGCGGTCTGCACCGTCCACAGGCACGGCGATGGTCAATGGGCGGAAGATCAAGCAGTTGAAGCGGGTCGAGAGGGCGATGGGTGTCACAACGGTGGCAAAGATACATGCTATCAAGATTGGAGCTTGTGAGAAGTTCTCCGAGGAGGACGCGAAGGATTTGGAGAAATTGGGCGTCGAGCTGGACTGGACGGCAAGCAGCGAAGCCTGATTCATAGACTCATTGTTATTGTTGTGCCACTTGTCATCGTTTTGTTGTCAGCCATCACACTGTACTCCTCTACCTTACTAGTTCGTTGGGATACCGACATTAATTGCAGCAAGTATCAGGACGTAATGACATCGACAACTCTCTATGTGTGATATAAGTAGGTGCAAGCAGCGCAACGTCTATGTGGGCGGTATTCTTGTGGTATAGGGTACGCAGGTCGGATGATTATAGAATGAAGGTCGTTTACTTCGTCTTTTCATGCGCGGCTTCGACCACCTCCTCCATGGTCAAGGGCTTCTTGCCACCGTCACCCGCAGCGTTAACGGCAGAAAGGTACGTGTCTGGAGATGAGGTTAGAGCGGTGTCCAGACGTGTTGCGAGGTGATGTGTACGTACTCCAGAACAGTGAGATGACACCGATGAAAACGAAGCGCAATTGAGGCGGTACAAAATTGAAGTTGACGAGCTGGGCAGGTACAAAGACCATCCTGCAGACAGCGTCAGCGCCTGCAACACGAGGGTATACCATGAGTCAAACTTACCAGTTACGCAGGAGCGTTGGCGCGTAGTTCTGATACCATACGTCAGCTATGCGTAGAGTAGATACCAATCGAAGAAGGGTGCTTACCGTGTTCAGCCTCTTCTTCGATTCATCAAAGCCTAGACCCTCCATCAGAGGCATGACCGTGAAGAATGTCCCCACAGCGAGTGGCGCCATCAATGATTGGTCTAGGAAAGTCTGTCACCCGTATTAGCGTTATAGCAATGGGAGATTTGGGTTCATAGGTACCCTGTAGATGACACCCTTGGCTGGCGAAGAGAACTGCAAGCGGCTGAGTACACCGAACCAAGCCGAGACGGGTGGCCCGAAGATGAGACCTCCGTACGCGGCCAGGCGGCCAGTACGGGCGAACTATGATTAAGTATCATGTCAGTAGGTGGGACTTCGAGAAAGAGCACAGAAACGCACGTCATGGTCCTTGCCCTTGCCTTCCACGGCCTGCTGAGCAACGACGTCTCCCGCGCCAAAGAGGACGGCCGAGGATAAACTCGAACCCAAGATAGGCCGGCGCGTTAAGAAGGAGCTGGCGGATTCGGGTCGGTATATAACACATACAATAGTGGGATGAGGACCCACTTGTAAGCTCTGAAGAGGGAGGCCATGTTGTGTGCTGGCGAACGTTGGAGGAGAGTTTGGGTTAGACGAACATCGCCGCCGAATGTGGGGAGCGCCCGGAGGTCCGGCCCGCTGCGGGGGTGACGACACGGGCGTCTTCGACGCGCTTCTGCTCCTTGACCTTCAGTTTGTTTACGTCCAGACCCTACCTGACATGGACGCCGGGGTGGGTATGGGCGGGCATGAGAGAGACAGACGAGCGCACCTCTCTTGTCTCCTACACTCATCCTCAGAGATCGTCTCGTCCTGGTGCATCAGAACCTCTGCAACCTGAGCTTTTCGGAGAGCGCCACACCGGGTTGATTCCACATCACCTTCGCCACTGCAGCTTCTACGATGGACGCGTCAGCTGGCGTAGAACGTTCATCTGGTTCTAAAAAAGCCCATGGCGCTGTCGGGCAACAAGAAGTCGCCCCGTCTCATGACCGTCCGCGTCTGCGTGCTATAAAGTCAGTTGCCCTTGCGGGAGAAGGATCTCTTGATAGCTTTTGACGTCTCTGCCTCAGTGTTTTCGCAGCGGCTTGCATCGCCGTCATGCTTGCGTATGCGCTGACCTTCCTGGCAGCCGCCCCTGCCGTGGTCTCACAGAGCGATGGCTTTTCGAAAGATGTGTCAAACTGCCCAGGTAATGCACAATCTGCAACCTAGACCTGCCACTTCTGAATGAGGCTCTATAGGCTACTCTTTGGACAGCATCAAAGAAAGCGACACGGGCTTGACAGCGTCTCTCAGTCTCGCCGGCTCACCCTGCAATGCTTTCGGTACTGACATACAGAACCTGACCGTAACGGTCACCTACGAGACGTCAGAGCGGTGCGTTGTAAAAGCCACCCGGGTCAATACTGCCGTCAAGCTCACCAGTCTATTCTCAGTTTGCATGTTTCTATCGCGGATAGTGCCAAGCAGCAATTCACTTTACCGCCTGAGTTCTTCCCTCGCGCTTTCAACGACACCACAAGCAAGCCGACTTCGGATCTCGCATTCAACTATGAGTCTGCCCCGTTCGCCTTCTGGATCAGTCGCGTAAGCGATGGAGACGTTCTCTTCGACACCCGCAACACCTCTCTGCCACCGGCACCGACAACGGCTTTGGACGGTGAACCTCTGAACGGTTTCCATCTTGTTTTCGAGGATCAGTACTTGGAGGTTGGTGCGATGTCAATGGTTCACTGCACTTTGTCTGACATGTTTGCAGTTGACCTCTGCGCTCCCAAAAGACGCGAATATTTACGGGCTAGGAGAGGCTGTCGCGACCTCCGGCTTCCGGCGTGATGTTGCCGGCCCAAACGGCACAATCCAAACCATGTGGGCTCGTGATATCGCTGACCCTGAGAATGGGAACATGTACGTTGGATTCATCGCACTTGAGTCGTGCGGATACTGATACTAGTTAGGTATGGCATGCACAACGTCTACCTGGAACACCGTATCAACAACGATACGGGCACCTCTGCGTCCCACGGCGTCTTCCTATCTTCAAGCGAGGGCGCCGACGTTCTGCTCACTACGCCGGCAAACTCCAACACCTCACTCGTCCAGTACCGCATGCTAGGCGGTACACTCGACTTCTACTTCTTCTCTGGTCCGAAGCCCGTTGATGTCGTCGAGCAATACACGAAGTTGATCGGTCTCCCTGCTTGGAACCCGTACTGGTAAGGTCCGTGGACCACTTGTATTTGATGAGGACTGAGGGCGTGCAAAGGGCATTGGGCTTCCATCTCTGCCGATGGGGCTATGAGAACATTAACGAGACGATGGACGTCGTCAAGTCGATGCGCGATGCAGACATTCCTCTTGAAGGTAAGTTTACGCTTCTTTTGTGGGGCGTAGCTCTCTGCTCATCCCTCGTAGTGATGTGGAACGACATCGACCTGTATCATGATCTTCGTGACTTCACTTCCGACCCTGTCAGGTTCCCGCCTGAGGCCATGCGGGACTTCATTCGGAGTCTGGTACGTCGGTAACCTATAGTATGAGCGGCCAACATTGATGAACTGGGACGACTGTAGGCGGCCAACGGACAGCACTGTAAGTGATAGATGTCACTGCGTATAGGCTCGATCATCAATCATGTCTCATCGCATATAGACATCCCTATCCTGGATGCCGCTGTTCCGCACACAGCCAATGATAGCGACTTGGTCCGTATCAACCGCTCGAAGTTTAAGTCAGGGACTGACACCGCTACGTAGTACTGGCCGTTCATCACCGGACTTGAACAGTGAGAGGCGCCCAGGCATCATCTCACAGTCTCCGCTAATCGCTGTCTTATAGGGGCAACTTCATTACCAACCCGGATAACTCGACGTACATTGGCCAAGTTTGGCCTGGCTATACCGTACGTGGCTTGATGCCAGGATGCGGTGTGCCTCTGACGTCTGTGGCAGGTCTTTGCCGACTGGTTCGCTCCGAATGTCGAGGCTTGGTGGACAGAGGCGATCGCGAACTGGAGTGACAGCGGCATCGAGTTCTCCGGTCTTTGGCTCGACATGAATGAGGCTAGCTCTTTCTGCACTGGGTCATGGTATGATGCCAACCATCCTGCTCTTCTAGTAGTTTACCTGACTGGTAGCGTTACAGCGGCTCATTCGGAGATCTATCAAACACGTCCCAATCGATCGCTTTCCCGGGTGACGAGGGAGACCCTGTCACTGACTGGCCCGAAGGGTACGACGCTTCTCGATGGGGCACCTCAGGCAACATGACGATCGGAGGCGAGCTCACGTACGACGACACCATTGAGGTCACCGCCGCAAGTCTCCCGGCGTTCCTGCTCGAAGCTATGAAGAAGCGCGCCCTCGGGGAGGTGAACGTGAATGCACCTCCATATGCCATTCATAACGGCTTCGGTGACCTATCTGAGCGTACGATCGCTACCAACGCTACACATTCGAATGGAGCGGTTGAGCTTGAAGTTCACAACCTCTGGGGGTACGTACTACAGTACAATGGTTGAGCAGAGTCCAATGACGTGGCGCAGATACATGGAAGAGCGCGCAACTCACCTCGGCCTCCTGAAGATTCGTCCCAACCAGCGACCTTTCCTCATCTCGCGCTCTACGTTCCCGAGCTCAGGTGTTTGGTCTGGCCATTGGGCGAGTTCATTCGCTTCCTGTTGTTATCAAGTACTGATACGTGTATCTGATAGCTCGGCGATAACTTCAGCAAATGGTCGTACCTGCGCTACAACATCCAAGGCATCTTGCAGTTCCAGATCTTCGGTATTCCCATGGTCGGAGCTGACACCTGTGGCTTCAGTGAGTGGATCTCGCCGCGCCATAGCTTCGGATGCGCTGACAGTATCACACAGACGGCAACACGGACGAGGAGCTCTGCAACAGATGGATGGAGATGTCGGCCTTCGCACCATTCTACAGGAACCACAACGAGCGTGGCGCCATCTCACAAGAGCCGTACCGATGGGACACCGTCGCCGAGTCGAGCAGGGCTGCGATGAAAGTCCGCTATGCAATGCTGCCTTACTGGGTGAGTCGCTACACATGCCGGGTCCACGCACTTTGTATTCACACTCTATGTCAGTATACCCTGTTTGCAAATGCTTCCACGCGTGCGACGCCGCCCGTTCGCGCGCTCTTCTGGGAGTTCCCCGATGAGCCGGAGCTGCTCTCCGTTGACTTGCAGTTCATGGTCGGCAGCGCTATCCTTGTCTCGCCAGTCACCTCCCCGAACGTGACAACCGTTGACGGTACGTGCGCCCAACACCGTCTACTCCCGTGTATCTAAACCTTCACAGCGTACTTCCCCGGAGAGAACATAACCTGGCGCGATTGGTACACGCACGATGTAGTCGACGCAACTCCCGGAACGCCTACGACTCTCTCGGCACCTCTCAACCACATCCCAGTCCACATCCGCTCGGGATCCATCCTTCTCCTCCACGCCCACCCTGGCTATACAACGAATGAGACGCGCTCGCAACCGTACTCACTCCTCGTCTCGCTCGACTCCGACGGTCAAGCTTTCGGCACAGCGTACATCGACGACGGCGAGTCGAACCCGGACTCGAGCGGGTTCATCTCGAACCGCACCCTCACTTTCTCCGCCACTAGCGCGGGCGTTAGCTTCAAGGGAGTGGGTGATTTCAACGTCGAGCAGCCCATCGAGAGCATCACCGTCCTCGGCGTCCCTTCGTCGCCGTCCAGCGTTAACGTGAGCGGCGGCGGAAGCGCCTCGGTGGCGTATGATGCGACTGTGCAGAGGGTGAATGTGACCGGGCTCTCGTTGGAGTTGAACGAGGATGCGACCGTGAGCTGGGCATGAGAAACGACTCGAGCCTACTAAAAGCACCGATCTTGTATATCTGACTCTTTGTAACAACGTCTGGACTGTATCTACGACCCCTGTGTACGAGTGTAACTCGAAAATGAATGTATACGTATGCTGTCGCGCGTACGACCGCCTCGTACTTCGGTCTGGGTGGGCCCAATTAGTCTTCGGACTTAACGGCCCGAAATCCTGATGGCGTGTTTAAGCCGCCGTAGGTTCTCGCCACACCGGTTTGCCTCTTGCCCGTCATGGCATGGCGAATCAATTGTATCCCGTGCCCGTACATCTCCTCAATACGAGTGCTCGTAGCTCAACCATAGTATTGGCACTTTGCCTACAGGCCATGGGTTGAGAACACGACGTCGCTTCTACGCTGCGCTTACGAGCACTCCTCGTTCCATCAACTTCTTGAGCGTCTATACCTTGTTACATTATACGCCGAGCGCTCTTCAGTTATGAAATGGCATGATCAGCAGTCCGAACGAGGCGAAGGGTGGTCATCAGACTCTGGTCACAACGTCGTGCACGCTGTCTTCCGGCAGTATATAGTCAAGACATCGGCAGTAATTTCTCAAGACTGTCCGTGCGGCAGATGCTTCTCCCCACCCTCGCCGTTTCGGCGGCGCTGCTACACGCGGCAAGGGCGCAGGGCTCGACCAGCTACTCGCTGAACACGACAACTTGTCCTGGTGAGCCTGCTTCCCGGCAATACCAGTCTCCGTCCAATCTGACCCGCTTCGCCAGGTTACGAACTTACGGATGTTCAAGAAAACGAGAGTGGTCTGACCGCTTCGCTCTCTCTGGCAGGAGAGCCTTGCAATGCGTACGGGGTCGATATCGCGAATCTCACCGTACTTGTCACCTACGAGACGGCGGAACGGTGCGTCAACCCAACTTTCGCCTGCAACGTGTAGTACTGATGTCCTCCTAGGCTCCATGTCTCTATATCCGACACGGACCAGCAGCAATTCACGCTCCCACGAGAGTACTTTCCGCGCCCCACGAACGAGACGACGGTCAAGGAATCCTCGGACCTGTCGTTCAACTACGAGTCTACCCCTTTCGCGTTCTGGATCACCAGAGCCAGCAACGGCGACGTCCTCTTTGACACGCGCAACACTTCCCTTCCCACGGCGTCAACGAGTACTCTCACCGGAGAGCCTTTGAACGGAGTTAAGCTGGTCTTTGAGGACCAGTACTTGGAGGTACGTCGTCTTGCGATATGCGCCGTCCAGCAATGTACTCACCAACGTCTAGTTGACCTCAGCATTACCCAGGGATGCGAACATCTACGGTCTTGGGGAGGCAGTCGCCACCTCCGGGTTTCGACGCGACGTGATCAACAACGGCACACTACAGACGATGTGGGCCCGCGACATCCAAGACCCGGAAAACGAGAATATGTACGCACCTTGCTAACCGACGTTTCTAACCTCTGGAGCTCATCGGGGAATGTAGGTATGGCATGCACAACATCTACATGGAACACCGCATCGAAAATAGCACGGGTGAATCCGCTGCTCACGGTGTTTTCCTTTCATCCAGTGCGGGAGCGGATGTTCTCCTCACTACGCCAGTCGGCTCGAATACGTCACTTGTGCAGTACCGCATGCTGGGCGGAACTTTCGACTTCTACTTCTTCTCCGGGCCGACACCGCTCGCTGTTGTGGAGCAGTATGGGCAGTTCGTTGGCACACCCGCCTGGATACCCTATTGGTGCGCAACACACCACGCCCTCCTTGCCGCAGCCGTCTCATGTCTTCGCAGGTCTCTCGGCTTCCACCTCTGCAGGTGGGGATACGTCAATATCAGCGAGACACGGGATGTTGTCCAATCAATGCGCGATGCCGGTGTCCCGCTGGAAGGTGTGTTCTAGTGATTCCCATTGTATGCTTAAGCTCATTGTCTTGTAGTCATGTGGAATGATATCGACCTGTACCACGACTTGCGCGACTTCACCTCTGATCCCGAGAGGTTCCCTCCGGAGGACATGAGGGTGTTCACGCAGGAACTGGCCGCAAATGGGCAACACTGTAAGTACTGATCCCCCAGTCCTTGAATAGGATACTCACGAAGTTACCAGACATCCCCATACTTGATGCAGCCGTTCCGCACACGGCGAACGACACAGACTTCGTACGCGTCCTCTACTCTAGTATTGGCATGGTACTGATTATCTCCCCATTAGTACTATCCGTTCATTCAAGGCCTGGCGCAGTATGTCGTCCTTTTGTCTATAGCTTCTCAAGGTGCTGACGTCACTACTAGAGGCAACTTCATCAATAACCCAGACAACACGACCTATATTGGCCAAGTCTGGCCGGGGTATACAGTTAGTCACTTCTCCCTTCTTTGCAATGGGATACTGATAAGATCTCTAGGTCTTCCCCGACTGGTTTGCGCCTTCAGTCGAAGATTGGTGGGCCGAGGCGATCGCCAACTGGAGTGCAAGCGGCGTCGGATTCTCTGGGTTGTGGCTTGACATGAACGAGCCCAGCTCGTTCTGTCAGGGTTCCTGGTACGTCTCATTCTCTGACCAAATACCTCATATAACAATACGATGTTCCTCAGCGGCACCACTGGCAACCTGTCGGATACCTCGCAGCCAATCCCGTTCCCTGGTGATCCGGGGCAAGAAGTAACAGACTGGCCTGAGGGATACGACGTAGATCGTTGGGGTACGAGGTGAGGCCATATATTGATGTCACTTTGGCATGCCATTGATGATTGGCTCCCGGTTAGCGGTAACGCCACTATCAATGGCACTTCCACGTTCAGCGACGACAACTCGACGGCGCTAGTTGCTCGCAGCATCTTTGGAAAGCGAGCAATAGAAAACCGCGATCTAAACTCGCCTCCTTACGCCATCCACAATGGTAATTCGCTTCGTTTCGTCCGTGCGGACAGTGCCATTCAGCTTTGTCAGGATACGGCGATCTATCTGTGCATACCGTTGCAACGAACGCGACGCACGCCAATGGATTTGCAGAGCTCGATGTGCACAATCTCTTCGGGTGAGTGCCCTTCTCGCTGGTTTATCACATATTGCTTACCGGTGTCTTGCCAGGTACATGGAAGAGCGAGCTACCCATCTAGCACTGTTGAAGAACAACCCATCGCAGCGGCCCTTCCTGATCTCTCGCTCGACATTCCCTGGCACGGGGCACTGGTCCGGTCACTGGGTAAGCCAAGTGTATCTTTGGTATGTGTACCTATCTGACTCGTGCGACCAGCTTGGCGACAACTTCGCGAAATGGACGTATCTCCGGTATAGCATTCAGGGTGTCCTTCAGTTTCAGCTGTTTGGCATCCCTATGGTTGGCGCAGATACGTGCGGGTTCAGTGAGTTGATCTTTTCCTTCCGCGCGGCGTGCCTGCATCTGACCTGGTTTCAGTCGGTAACACAGATGAGGAACTCTGCACTAGATGGCAAGAGCTGTCGGCGTTCTACCCATTCTACCGCAATCACAATCAACGTGGGGCAATCTCGCAAGAGCCATATCGCTGGGACGGAGTTGCGGAGGCGACGAAGACAGCTATCAGTGCTCGTTACGCCATGCTACCCTACTGGGTATGTCGTCAGCCTACTCCCGAATCTGACATGCGACTAATTAGCTTCTAGTATACACTCTTTGCCAATGCTTCAACTCGCGCGTCGCCTCCCGTTCGTGCGCTGTTCTGGGAGTTCCCAGACGAACTGGAGCTTTTGACCGTCGACCTCCAGTTCATGATCGGCCGCGACATACTGGTATCACCTGTCACGGCGCCGAATGTATCTACAGTAGATGGTGCGTGGATTGTTTGCTGCTCAATACCAGCACGCTGACTAGTTACCATAGCATACTTCCCGGGCTCGAAAAACACGACATGGCGCGATTGGTACACGCACGAGCAAGTCGAGACTGTATCGGGTACCACCACAACGCTCTCCGCGCCCTTAAGCCACATCCCAGTTCACGTCCGCTCAGGATCAATCCTCCTTCTGCACGCTCATCCTGGCTACACGACGAACGAGACGCGTTCTCGGCCCTACTCCCTCCTCGTCTCACTCGACGTCAATGGGCAAGCATTCGGGACAGCATACATCGATGACGGCGAGTCGAACCCCGACTCAAACGGCTTCATCTCGAACCGCACGATCACGTTCTCCGTCGCCAACAACTCGCTTAGCTGGGTCGCGGCGGGCGACTACAACGTTGAACAGCCGATCGAAAGCGTCACTGTACTTGGAGTGGTCTCCGAAGTAGCGAATGTCACCATCCCCGATGCCCAGGTCACATACGATACGAATGTACAACGAGTCAACTTCACAAACCTGTCTGTATCTCTCAGTGATGATGGAGGGTTCAACTGGGCGTGACTGTACTCTACATGAATGACCTCTGCTTTGTTCTATCCCACTCATGTAGTACATACGTCGAATCCACATCACTCATCATGTACTTCTATGGTCACAGTGTTAACTCCTTTGTGCGTGAGCGGACTCGACCATTCCTGCGTGGGATACAGTTCCGAAACGTCAGGGGGTTGCGAAAAGGAGTTAGCCGGTCTCGTCTCGGATACCGAAAGTGGCCTCAGGGGCTGGACATAACATTAGACCCCTGTTCTGCAATCTCTCACAGTATATAAGCACGAAAGCCGGTCCTGACCTTCATCTCGCCCGTCTTTCTCACTTTCGCACTATGGACTCTACCCTTGCTCTTACGGCTCCCGGCGAGCCCGTCTTCCCCGCTTCCCCATTCATGATGCAGGACATCAACTTTGCTTCCGCACCCTCTGTCGACGTCAACATGTGGGAACTGGGCCACAACGAACAACTACTTCCGTCGCTTCAGTCGCAGGTCGACTTGCACGACTCTATCGCTGAACTCTTTGGCAATCGGCAACCATCGCCTTTCGCGCCCCAACCTACTTCATCTACGAGGACTATCTTCGGCTGGCGCCCATCGTCTTCCTCCAATTCCCTCCACCCCACATCCACAACTTCGAACGGCATGCCCACAAGCAGCTCGTCCTGTCTTGACATGATTGCAGACGCTCTCGTGCCTCGCAAGCCCAAATACAAGCCATTCGTGAACCCAGGCCGTATTCGTATTGAACAGGCTTGTGAAGCGTGCCGCACTCGCAAAGCCAAGGTCAGTACCCGGCGATCTCTCATTCAGAACCGGGCTGACGCCTAAACAGTGTGACGGCGGTAATCCATGCGATCGTTGCCGAGACCGAGGCGTGAGCTGTGTCTACAAGGGCAGCAAGCTCACTCGGTCTCGCAGGAGTTCGTACAGCGACCCCGCCACGACTACGTCCAGCAACGCATCCATCCCATCTCGTACACCGAACCGAAAAGTTCGCTCAGCGCCTGCACCCCTACACCTCGCTCGCAGCGCCTTCGAGCCTGGGCGAACGCAAAACGGGCGCACACCGTCCCCACCCCATCTCCCATACCGTGAGCCGCCGTCGGCCGCGAGTTCGTCGGGGAGCTTCATCTCCGGCTATTCCACCACCAATTCGAGCGCACGCTCTACGCCAATGTCTGCGGACTTCCCCGAGTTTGCCTCTTTGCACGCTGAGGGCCCGTCCGGCACGGGGGCCATGCGCCACAGCAGGCAGAACTCCAGAACACATCCCTATTACGCCCCGGCGGCTTCCCATCACTCCTCGGTCTGTGGATCCAGCGCGTCGTCCTTCATCGACGGTCTTCCGCCAGCCACCGAAGTGGCTGGATGGACAGATCTACAATTCACAAACCAATGCTTCCCCGGACAGCCAGGCGAGACAAACTTCTTGACCGCGGGCGACGACCTCTCCGACCTTTTCAACATCTGCGCTCCGCTACCGCTGGACGGCTTCCCCGCATCGACTCAGTTCACTGGAGAGATGCCGCCCATGTTTGATCTTTCGACCAATGCAAGCGAGTCGTCCAGTGACTCGGCACAGTCCAACGACTCGTACGCTAGCTTCGAGTCGTCGTTGATGCTGGAGTTCGCCCAGACGCCGAGCACAGTATCGGCTGACGAGGAGAGCAAGTCGACGGAAACGTCCCCTGCGAGGTCTCCCGAGGAGTTGTGAAGAGTAGTCAGTCAAGAAAGTCGCTTTTCTCTCCGTTTAGATCCTCTCTGTGGGGAACGATCTAATCTTGCTGCTGTCTCCCCACTGTACCCACGTATATCCTGTTCCAAAGAATCTCAAATCAAACGCATGAAAACATTCAGACATGATGGGACGAGCTATGAGGAATTTTATTCGAAGTATGGCATGGTGGCAAGAGGCAAGTCGAGGACAGCAAGTGTGCAGCCACCGAGCACTCCGAAGGCTGACGCCGGCAATCCCCGAGCCGGGCCGACGGGAAGTGGTCCCCAGATGCTACTAACTTTGAACAGTCCTTCATGTACTTACTTGAGACCTCGTTGTTTCCATCCTTCATGGACACCTGTCCGGCCGCGCTGTCGATCAAATGCTGCTGGCTGCATGGTCCTCATCAGTGGCCCTCTGCGGGCGGACAAGTTGATTCTCGCGTGCTGAAGAGATCCTCGTCCTCAACGTCCATCGGGTCCTCCTTACTCTTGTTGCCATAATCCCATGTCTATGTACCGATATACAGCGTAGCGCTCGTCGTCGCGCGCAGAGTCTAATCACTAAACTTCAATCGATGGCACACACAGCCCGGCCTCGTGTCTGCCTTCCACCATACCGAGTGCCTTGCTTCCCACGACACTATAGGCTCAAAAGCAATGGAGCGTGCTCCGCCCGCCCACCCTGCTTTTCGCCCCAACCTTGGTTTCTTTCGTCACTGACACTGCTGCTTTCTTCATCTTTTCTTAACGCTCACGACTCTTACGATTGCTATCTATGTCTTCTCGCGCACTGTTCTTCATCTCGACCCTCGCGGTGGCTCAACGCGCGGCTGCTCACGGATACCTGGGAAGCGTAGCGATCGACGGCACGACCTACACAGGTCCTACGCCCTCTGCCAACCCGAATGCTGCGAAGAGCACGAGTGTCATCCGACAGGTGGCTGATATTAGTCCTGTACAAGGTGCGGTCACCTTCCCATCGCTCGTTCTGCCAGTTCGCTGACCACGACACCGTATGTAGGCGCAAGCAACGATGATCTGAGATGTGGGCTGAGTGCCGCAGCGGCCAGTCAAGAAGCAGATGCAAAGCCGGGGAGCACTGTGGAGTATTGGTGGTCTGGAGGAGGGGGACAGAATGTAAGTACATCTCCGATCTCTCAGAGTGTCGTAATCGAAATGTGCACTCGGGCTGTATGGACGCTCTCCATTCTTTGCGCCATACTTCCGCAGTATGGTTTTCTAGCGAGTGTGCTATTTCAGGCGACCCATTCGCTCTCTTTCATCTCCGGGTGTGGATCATCGCCGCACCTGCTCTTGAACTCTCTTGAGGGCTAGGCGCCCATTTTGTCCCATGCGTCAGGTGCAAGTCACTGATCGACATTGAATAGTGGCCACACAACACGGGGCCCGTCATAACATACATGGCCGAGTGCACGGGCACGAGCGACTGCACGACATTTGATCCCACGAACGCGGAATGGTTCAAGATCGACCAAATTGGGGAGTCATCTGCCGGGACTTGGTATCAGGCTGTATTTAGTGCGTTCTCTTGTTCCATTTGTACACATAGCCCTTGAGTGACTGAAAATGTGCACACAGTGCAGAAGCAATCGCTCAAGCTAACGATACCCACGAACCTACCTTCCGGTCACTATCTCTTCCGCAATGAGATCATCGCTTTGCACAATGCCGTTTCGGAGGGTGGCGCAGAGTTCTACCCGGCATGTGTACAACTTAATGTCCAGAGCGGCAGCGGCATCACCACCCCAAGCCCCACCGTCAAGTTTCCTGGTGCCTACAGCGATACTGATCCAGGTATCTACGTGCCAGAGGTGATGCATTCTGTACCAGCTCTTGTGATTTGCTTGACTGAGGAGCCGTCGCTAGATTTACAACGACGACTTGCAATACGTCTTCCCCGGTGGACCTGTAAGCAACATGGCATCAGCCAGCGACTCGAGCGGAAGCCCTCCTGCGGATGAGAACGCCAGCACGAGCAGTGGTGACGGTACGTACAGACTTCTTGAATTCAAACCTTGCCCCTACGTCTCTTCGCCTGATTACGTCTCTTGTCACCTACTCCCCATCAGGCTCTTCTTCGCCTGTCTCATCTTCATCTTCTACCGAAACTTCTTCTTTTGCAACTTCGCTTTCATCAAGTTCAAGTGCATCGAGAACGTTCTCAACTCAAATTCCCGCAGGCTCTGGCGCCGTTGCATCTGGTTCAGCAACAATCCCTACCGCTACTGCCTCAGGCTCATCGGGCTCTGCGTCCGCGGCGCCAACGACATCCGCTGGATCGAGCGGTATCGGCTCTGGCTCCTCATCAACAGACACCTCAGTCTGCAAGCTCGTCAAACGCTCTACATCTCAGAGTTTACGCAAACGCAGCGCTGACGTGGAGAAGCGCTGGCCGGGTCTGGACGATATGAAGCAGGGACTGAAGGAAGTCAGGCGGTGGAAGCTCGGACACTGGGCGCGGATGAAGGCTCGTGGGATGATGAGCTGGTGAATGTACTGATTTACTCGTGGATTAGCTGTCGCAGGAAGACAGCGGGAATGCATGTATCTATATAGGAACTTCGCGTGCTGGATATGCATATGTATTATTAGATGTATTCTTGGGCAACAAGTCCGAGTTCTGCGCGCCCGGATACATACCAGGAAGAGGTGGCGAACACGCCCACGTGAGTTCACAAACCTAGACGCCTATCTAACGCGTAAACGTCATCCACCGCGTCGATCAACCGCTACGCCATCTCTTCTGCCCTTGCCTTCTCATCAGTCGCCTCTCGGGCCGTGGAGAACGCGTATTGTCGAGCTGCTCGGCTCCTGATGGGTTTCATATCAGCATGACCTTGAGCTCCGATGGTATGGGACGCACGGTCTATTGAGCACACTGTCAGGCCCTACGTTGATGAAGACCTCGTAAAGAAGGCCTCCGAAGGCAGCGCCAATAATGGGCCCACATATGTTGCACCATAGCCAATACTGACTCCGATATGTCCAAACTGTCGAGTACGACGTTAGCATCGGCGGCTTTGATCACTATACCCACTCACCAGCTGGGCCGTAACCGACAAGGAAAGTAGCCAGACGAGGGCCGAACTAAGAGACAAGAGCAATCAGCCTTGTGATAAAGATATCTAGCATACGTGACTTACATCGCGCGCCGGGTTCAAAACGAATGAGGTTTGGGATCCGAATCCAGAACTGACGACGAACACCGCCGCAAATGCTACCAGAGGTACGAGCTCGCGCCTCACGCCACCGCCATTAGACCTGTCGGTAACCGCAAACAAAGCCATCATCAAGATGAGTGAGCCAATGAAGGCGTCGATGAATGCATTCATGTTTGCGACATAGTCGAGCGCGTAGCACGATATGAACGAGGCGGTGCCTGGAACTGAATGAATGGTGGGAGAGCCTTCGTAGATTGCGATCGCGTAGCCGTAGTTGAGGTAGCAGAGGAGACCAGCCAGAAATGCTCCGAGGACTTGCGCGATGATGTAGGCGGGAACCTTGCGCCACGGGAAGCGGCGAAAGATCGCGAAACTCAGGGTTACCTGGGTAAACGTCAGTTCATACGTGTTGCTAGCATGAATCGAATCGACGTACGGCTGGGTTGACATGACCTCCGCTCACACCGCCTGCGATCCAAATGGCAAGTGCCAGGCCAAGCCCCCATGCCCATGAAGTAGAGTCCCAATCCCCACGCGGAGAAGGTGCGATGTCACTGCGCGCGCCCAGGTTAACTTGAAGATTCGTGCCGATGCCCGCAAGACAGAGGATGAAGGTGCCGAGCGCTTCGGCTGCAAACTCACGGATGGGCTCACTATATGCGCGTCAGCGTCCAGTGACGCAAGTGGGCTAGAGGCGAACGCACCGTATACGCGACCAGAAGTTGGGATACCTTGTGTGGTAGTCGACCAGCCGGTTGTACTCCGTAACTAAGGCATTGTCTGCCAGTGCGCCCTGGCCCGGTCCGGGTTCGGGTTCGGCCATCGGAGCGGCCATGTCCTTCATTTGGCTCGGGCTTGTAACATCGACCATGGTAGTAGACTGCATGGAGGATATGGCCCGTGTGGGATCCATCATCGCAGAGGAAGCCATTGCAGGCGCCATTTCCGACTGATCAGGCTCTGCGTCCATAAGATCTTCCGCTACGGGTGCTGCCATGGCCGTATGCTCTGCGTTGTTGCCAACTGTGTCTACCTTCCCTTCCGGTGGCTCGCTCCGGCCATGACTTGCACTCTCGCTATTAGGCATGTCGGTCGACGTCGTGTTGTCCGAGGTTGAGGTCGGCGGGACGAATGTGGGTGAGAATGGGATGAACGACGGGCGACCAGCAAAAGTCTGGGCCAGAGATGTTAGATTAGAGTCTCCCATGGCGCGACGGCAGGCACAAGAGCGCGAAGAAGAGTCGGCGAAGACAAAGGTCGTGATCCTCCAGGGATGCTACGTTTCACCCGTTTGCTGTACGCATTGCGTCTTTATGGACAAGCATACTCTTTGTACGCCAAGACAGAAGCGCACGCACTTGCTGCTATGGCACAGGTTAACGCAGGTATGTCGTGATAGCGCTACTAGTGAGCAAGTCTGAGCGGATGATCTTCTTTCTGAACGTCCGGGCGCTTGTGGCAATGAGGTGAAGTCGTTCCCAGGCAGACAGTGGCAATGCAGGAAGCCATCAAGTAGACATCCGCGGCCCTGTCGCGGGATGAGACGGGACACGCCGTCGCATCTTGTACGAAGCGATTGTACAGTAGGTCTTGCTAGCCTGGGATTCCACACGGAATAAGAAGCAGACAAGTCGGAATCAATCATCTGCGATGGACACATCATGTCATTGAGCAGCAAGTACGCAGACACGTTACACTATCTGTCCCGCCTCTACTACGCTTCGTGAAGCCGCCAGCCGTTCGCGGGCAAGCTCCTGAGCACGCGTCCATTGGCGCGCGGCTCGACTCCTGAACATGGTCAGCGATGCGCGTGATGGTGGAGAGCTCCTGTACTCACGGCCGATTGAGAAGACTATCCTCGCCGGTAGCTATCAATGCCTCGTAGACGAAGGCGGCGACCAGTCCACCGGCTAAAGGACCGCATATGCAACACCATAACCAGAACTGCCTGCGATAGCTCCATACTAAGCGGAAGTCAGCATCGTGTCTTGTAAGCGCGGGTGAGAACCGGCTTACCCGGTTCGCCGTAGCCAACAAGCGCAGTCATGATCCTGACACCTAGGTCGCGCGCGGGGTTGATGGCGAAGGATGTCTGCAGACCGAAGCCAGCGATGATGATGAACATTGCGGAGAAGATGGCCAACGGCACGAGACCGGCAGGCGGTGGTCCATTGTTGCGATCGGTCACGGCGAAGACGACCAAGAGCAAGATGAAGGAGCAGATGAACTCGTCCCAGAAGCAGTTTAAGTCGCTAACGTAGTCGAGCGCATAGCTTGTGAAGAACGACGCAGTTCCCGGGACTGTGCGCACCCCGGAGCCTTCAACGAGATCGATTGCGTGGAAGTAGTTTCCATACGCAACTAAGGAACCCAAGAAGGCGCCTAGGACTTGAGCGAGGACATAGCCTGGCACTTTCTTCCAGGGGAAAGACCGGAAGATAGCCATACACAAAGTTACCTGGCAATTGTGAGTGAAAATAACGGTGGCAGCACGACAGCACGCACAACGGGGTTGATATGCCCTCCAGAAACACCACCCGAGATCCAGACACCGCATGCTGCGCCTGTCACAGTCTCAGTATGTTTCGTGTACGAGAGACGTTCGATGCGTACCAAGAGCCCATCCAAAAGAGTTCGACAAGTAATCCCCGCGTGCTGAGGGAGCAATCTCCGTATTCGAGCTTAGTCCGACCTGTAGATTGACGCCGACACCGACGAGGCAGAGAATAAAGGTGCCCAAGGCTTCCGCCGCAGGCTCTCGTATGTACTCTCTATGAAGTGTGAGAAGGAGACATACAGCATACCGTGATACGCGCACCTTATTCTCGACCAGCCGTTGGGATAGCGAGTATAGTACCCCTGCGGCTTGGGATCTAGCTCAAAATGCAGTAGCTCAGGCACTCCCACATCTGCAACATAGCGCTCTTTCCTGAACTCATGCTCCGGGTCGTGACCATGTTCGTTATCGTGAACCACTGTCTTGCCAGAAGACGTCGAGGCGATAGTAGCGGTGTCCATTGCGGTGAACGTGAAAAGAGCGTAATGTGATCCTCCAGGGATGGGGAAAAGCGGCGAAAGGTGCGACGAGTGATATAAGTAACCGATGCGGGGAGGCGCGGATACAACGCCGAGACCAGAAAGGCAGTTCTGCGGAGCGGCGATGTGTTAGGCGCGCTGTTGGGAGGTATGTGGCGATGCTTCTCCGGGTGCGCTCCAGTTCAACTATATTGAAGGTGCAGGTTAGTATACAGGCTCAAGAAGGCCTAATCTTCTGCCTGAAGCGGGAGACGTACTGTCATCCCTTCGGGCCAATAGCGAGTGACTGCTGAACCGTGGTCGACCGATAGTAGAACTGTAGAATCACGCGGCGTTGCCGGTTGTTGTGGGGTGATGATCTTCATGATACGCTTACAACGACCCTGCACCACAAGAGCAATTTCATTACTCTTTCGGTGGCCAAGTGTACAAGGGGCTATGCACGAACATGATGGCCAACGTGCCGCCAAGCATGCGTTGGAGGAGGTGGGCTGATGTGGGCGCTTATATCCATAGGTTATTGCGCCGTGCTAGCATTTTGAGATACAGACAGCGAGTAGAACCGTCAGGGTATACATCATATAGTTTGCACTGTACAACATAGGTGCTCGGGATAAGCACCCGAATTGGCGGTTGCGAACATTGTGTCATTCGGCAAACGCCGTGATGTCCGCACGCGACAACGCAATCGTGAGTCTTTGCGTACATTCACAAGTACTCGCCATTTTACACACCAAGCCTAACACACCCTACAGTAGGGTTTACATGCACACGGGATATGCAGGACGGGTCTCAGTGTCCATTTTGCGGGCAGTCGATGTCATCCGGCACTCGCCCTTCTCAAGAAGTTCACTACGACGCGTCGACTGGGATGTGCTGCGTGCGCAAGGATGAGAGTTTTACACCTCCTGGGCGGGACGGATGAGAAGCGGAAGCTGAGGTCGACTTTGATCCCCATCCATGAATGGTCTGCCTACGATGTTGAAGTGGCGAACCTGTTGTACGACGCGGTAAGCTTATCGGAGCGTTTGCGGAAGCTTGACTCTGAACGCACGATGTCGTCGGGTTGCACCGCCAGGGCAAACTCAAATGAGCTGACGAGACTGAACAGCACTGACTTCGCTTCGGCAAGGGCGAAGCGGAAGCCAATGCATGCGTGCGGCCCAGCGAGGAACGTCAGCAGATGATTATAGATGCCCGGCATGGCGCTCGTCTCCTGCGGAAGGTGATCCCAACGCTCCGGCTTAAACTCATTAGCATCATCACCCCAGATCTCCTTCGAGCGATTGAGGATGCGGGTAGGGATAATGATCGTATCTCCCTTTGTAACACGCAGCTCCGAGCGCTGCACACCGTACTTGTCGACGAAGGGGGCCTCGAACGGGATCACATCGGCCTGCTGCGCGACGCGCGTGGAAAAGTTGACTGGAGCATATAGGCGCAGAGCCTCGCGCAGAACAGACTCCAGGTAGTGAATCCCGTTCAGCTCTTCCAACGATGGAGAGTCATACGGATGCAAGCATAGCTCCTCGCGAAGTTTGCGTTGCACGTCCGGGGCAAGAGCGAGGGCGAAGAGTGTCCAAGTCACCAAAGTACTCGTTGTCTCGTGTCCTCTACAGAAGCACCTGATTAGTACCTCTCTTGTGTAACCGTAGAGTCCCCGTACGCTACGATGAACGTCGGGACCTGCGAGATGATCTCGGCATCCGACATGCGGAAGTTATCCCCCAGGTCCCCCGCCATGTTGCTCTTGAGTAGGAGCGAAAGAAGGTCGTGTCCGGATATGTCGTCCTTGGTGAGAGTACCATCAGGGTGTTCCCCCATGATCTGCTTCTTCTTCTGTTCGATGAGGCGCGCTCCGATGCGAGTGATAGTCCCCAACGCAGCATCACGTCCACGCGACTCTTCTGTAGGCTGAGGACGCAACGGGTCAGAAACTCGAGCATAGGATGAAAACAAATGTCCCTTACCAGAGCCCAGAAGAGCGGGACGAAACTGACTATGCGAGACCACAACGTGCGCGCGCCTGTGATGCCGAGAGACTTGCTGATAGCACCATAGAGCTCATTCGGGTGCGCACCATCGGCGTGGAGAGCGTCGAAGTTGTAGTTGAAACCTGAGATCAATGAGACGTGATGTTGACATGTCACTATGGCTTTTACGCGCCTGTAAGCCCGACCATGTCCAGCGCTGCCTTGTTGAGCCACTCGAAGGCGTCTACTCGTGTCCAGCCATCCTCTCGGACAGGCTTCTCGGTCAACGTCAACCAAACATCGCGCAACTGTAGACGATGAGCAAGACGTCACGGCATTCAAAGGAGCAGTGCGCTTACTTCGTTAGCCTTCGCGATGAACGTCTCAGTGAACTTCCGGATCTGCGCCGGCCCAAATGCTGGGTTCTGAGTGTGGTCTGATCAGAACGTAGTCACGACACCACGGGCGGGACGCTCACAATGGCCTTGCGTTGACGCTTGTGGTCATCACCGGTCACGAAGAGTAGACCTGTACCCAGGACGGCGCCCAGGTCATGCCGAATCTGATCGGACTTCTCGTAGACATAGCCGTCCTTGAGAACGTGGCTAATGGCTTTCGTGTCGATGGTGACCATTCTCTGACTCTGAGGAACCGAACATTAGCTAGGATGCTCAGATATGGGCCAACGACGTACGCCGAATACAGAGTAGTAGCGGATGGCACGTCCATACTGACCAAACCAGCTCTCCAGCAAGCGATGACCGTCCGCTTCATGCGCAGAAACGAAGCTCCCCAGCATCAGCGATTCGCGCTTGGGTCCGGGTAACACACGCATCGGCGAAGTCCATGCCTGGACATAGTTGCCCGCAAAGATGGATACGACGTATGCAGCGACAAGCAGACTCGCCGTCCCGATGCCGCCAAGTATCAAAGCGGGTGTGGAGTGGCCCGAAAGAGAGCTTGCCAGGAGGTTGCGGACGTTTGAAATGACCTCGGAGGACTCCATCGTCGTCGGCAGGATAGGGAACAAGTAGCATTGGTTGACTGAGGTACTTATTGCGATGTCCGTTCGGTATGCGCGGGAGGATCTGCGAGTGAATAGTCAGCGACGTAGAGTAAATAGAGTCTATCTCCGTAAACAGGATCCACGAGCCCGGAACGCCGTGCTTGAGGCAATCAAGTTCGGAATGCTCGCCGCAAAGGATTGCCAGAGTTCAGGGCTCCAGGACTCTGGACATCGGTGACAGGACGACTGTAAGCCGTTGACGTCCAGCGTAAAGATGAGGCATAGGAGGGAGCGTAATATTCTTTTCGCGCCTCTCCCGTCATCCTCCAGTCTGCCGCACAGCGTCCGCTGCAGGCAATGCCGTTCACACAGCGCCGAAGAGCCCGGATAAGACTACGGCAAACGAGTTGATATTGTCTTCATTTGCCTTAGTCTTGCCACATAAGATCGACGATTAGGCGATACATGGGGATGTGAGGTTGGGTACCGCTATCGCTGGTCCCATGTGTCGTAACAAGAGCATGGTGAACGTCTGTAGCAAGTTGACGCGACTCGGTCCTGAAATTATGAGTAACGACCACCAAGTGCTCAAATATTGTAGCTCGGTGCACCCAGAGATCTCAGAGCTGTCCGTCAGATATGTAGACGTCTGATCAATTAAAGTATGCGTGGCACACTAAGTAGCAGAAAAGCATGATCATAGTGATCAGGAGAGAAAGTAAAAAACACAATGAAGCTATGTCATTGGCCATCGTGGGGATCGAACCCAAGACCTTCGCGTTATTAGCACGACGCTCTAACCAACTGAGCTAGACGGCCTTCATAATCTATAATTTATTGGTCTATATAATGTTTAATAAATCTTCTGGAGCTGAGACGATCTCAACATGCTTGGTACTAGCGATGATGGTCCCTAAGGCGTTGCACCCTCACCCCTCAAGCATGGCTACTGTCTCTATGGTCACTGCTATCGCAGGTTCTGAAGCTAGCGACACGGATGATATGTAAACTGGCTCTTGACATGAAGGGGGACCACCTCTGTGCAACCACTGTGGTCTGCGACCCAGTGTAGGAACCGACATCCATATGCTTTAGTCTCATATTCGTTGCTCGTCATGGACTCTACAGGGCTCTTGTGGTCGGGGAAGTGATGGTACCTGCCCGAGAGTGGTTCTCTATGTGGACAATAACCATAGCGGGAACAACAAACGCGGCGTCATTGTTCTCTGGGCGCCTAATTCGGACCGACCCGAAGGATCGTCTTGTTCAACGACCACGCACGACCTTTTTGTCTACATACTATAAGAATGGTATGCCGCTGCTCCGTTGATCCTCACCCTTCGGCTCTCCCTCTCCCGCTCTTGACGAGTGATCCTTGCCTGTCTGTCTGCTCAGTGCCTGGTGCCGCGCCCTTACGATCTCCTCGACGTCTGATACTTTACGCTCACTTTCACTCGCACTTCGCACCTTACGCACCGACTTTCTATCAGCATGCTCTTTGCTCTTGTCTCGCTTGCTCTCCTCGCCCCCTCCGTCATCGCGCACGGCTGGCTCTCGACCATCTCTATCGATGGCACGACCTACACCGGCCCCTCGCCCGACGACGCGCCCACGAAGGACACCGTCATCCGCCAGGTCTCGGACGTCAGCCCTGTCAAGGGTGCTACCAACCCGGACATGGTATGCGGTCTGAGTGCTTCGCTTGCCAACAAGCAGGCGACCGCTATGCCCGGCAGCAAGATCGACTTCATGTGGATCAGCCGCGGACCTCAGAACGTGCGCAGCTCTCCATTCCCAGTCCAATAGTCTACCGTACTGACGATCTTGATAGTGGATTCACAAGGTTGGCCCGGTCATGACCTATCTCGCGGAGTGCACCGGCACGCCCGACTGCTCGACCTTCAACGCCTCCGACGCTCAGTGGTTCAAGATTGACCAGATGGGTCTCAAGGACGCGGCTTCCGGCACTTGGTGGCACCAGAACTTCTGTACGTCTACACTGCTCTTCTACTTGTGTAGGCCCAACTGACTTGGTGATCGTAGTCGATGGCGAGCCGCTCAGCGTAACGCTCCCCTCTGACCTCAAGGCCGGCAACTACCTCTTCCGCAACGAAATCATCGCTCTTCACACCGCGACGTCCGAGGGTGGTGTCGAGTTCTACCCCGCTTGCGCGCAGCTTTCCGTTGGCGGCACCCAGAATGGTACTCCCAACGCAACTGTCTCCATCCCCGGCGTGTACTCCGACACCGACGCCGGCATTGTCACTCCGGACATCTTCAACACGCCGGTCCAGTACATCTTCCCCGGCGGTCCCGTCAGCAGCATGGCCGTTGAGGCGGACAGCGCAGATCTCGCGGACTTGAAGGCAGTGACCACTCAGCCCGCTGTCGCCTTCAACATTCTCTCGAGCGGTAGCGACTCGACGCCGTCTAGCAACTCCTCGAGCGCGGCATCTTCCGCCACCTCTGCCACCGCTTCCTCTGAGGCTTCCCCCTCCACCGTCGCAGGTTCCGCTTCCGCTGCATCCACTACCGCCGCGAGCAAGTCTTGCAAGGCGAAGACCACCTCGCAGAAGAAGCGCCGCGTCCACGCTCGCCACTGGTTCCACTGATCGCCTCATCCGCGCACCCCTCCCTTCTACGACGCGACACGATTGCACACTAGCATCGACCATTCATGCAACTGTACCATATTCACGCACGCACATCATCTCTTCTTGGGGTCCACTCGCGCACGGTTCGCGGTGGCTTGGATCATCGATCATCCATACACTCACTCTCACTTGCATCTCCCGTCTTGGTTTTCTCGGTTCTGGGATCGGCACGTTCTTGTTTAGATGTAGCCATAGCTCGACGCTGTTATATTTGTACCATGTTTGGCATTACCGTACATGATGCGACGCTCTAATCAAGCTTTGAATGAATACCTGAGCGCCTAGTGCCCTGTCCCGCGCATCGTGCAACGTTGTTGAAATAGATCCGCACTGCTGCTGGGCGCCCGAGCTCCTGCCTTGCCATCGACCACCATAGCGCACGCGCATCCGTACCATAACAACAACCCTCTGCGTTGGTCAGACGACAATGCATCGACGTCGCGAGCGCAGAACGTACGCCTGTTGTCCGATGCAGTACGTATCGGAGATGGCTGCCCCTTCACGGACACTCGCTACGGTCGTAGCTCGTTGAAAAGCTATACGGACTTCGCGGTCTGATAGACCGTGTGGGGATTTTAGCGTTTAGCCTCCAGCCGCCGCTGTTCGTTGCGCTGTCGACATGCTCCACGGTGAGCGCGTCGCGCTGGCTCGGCTGTCAAAGCGCTCATGATCGTCGCGTCCTTCAAGACGCACGTTGCGTTTGAGGGTCTCGGATTTGTCCATCTCCCGCTCCCCACCCCGGATGTCGCTGTCGAGAGAGGAGTGTGAGGTACGTATGGAAGTGGCACCGCAAGTCGCCGGAGGGGGGCCTGGTAACACCGTTTTTCCCTAGCGACGCCATCGCGGCATCCGGTACACCGCACCCGTCAACGTTCGCCATCTGATGCGAACTACATAAAGCCGCATGCTCTAACTCAACTGCTTTTCCCATTCCGCCCTCCTTCTCCCCGTTGGGCTTGTTTCCGTTTCCGTTCTTCTCTCTTTTTATCTCTCGGACGACTCGTCAACTCGGTGTCTCTCTGCTGTCGCTCACGCACACGCTCTCCAGCACCCGTCGTTCTTTCTATCACCCGAATTACCTGCACACAATGCGCTTCGCCGCTACTCTCGTCGCGCCTCTCGCGCTCTCCCTCCAGGTGGCTGCTCACGGCTTCATCGGACACATCACTATCGATGGCAAGGAGTACAAGGGCAATGGCGACGGTGGCGACCCTTCGACGACCGCCATCCGCCCCACCAAGCCGTATGATGTCGGCCCCGTCCTGGACGTCACCGACAAGCAGATGAGCTGTGGTCTTTCCCCCGTCAGCAACGCTGCACTCGTTGCGGACGCGAACGCTGGTTCCGCACTGGAAGTTCTCTGGGTTGGCCAGGGCAACACCAACGTACGATCTTTCGGTCCCTTGTTCTCGTATGATGGCTAACTTAAGCTGTGCAGTGGATTCACGAGGTCGGCCCCGTCATGCACTACATGGCCGAATGCACCGGCGTCGACGACTGCACCACCTTCGACTCTGCGAACGCCAAGTGGTTCAAGATCGACGAACAGGGCTTCAAGTCCGACGGCACGACATGGGTCATGCAGGACCTGTACAACGGGAAGCCTGTCAAGTTGAACATCCCTGAGAACCTGAAATCGGGCAACTACCTTTTGCGTTCCGAGGTCATCGCTCTCCACCGTGCCAACGTCGAGGGCGGCGCCGAGTTCTACCCGAACTGCGTGCAGCTCAAGGTCGGCGGCTCGGGCACTGAGACGCCCAGCTCGACCGTCAAGTTCCCTGGCGCGTACTCCGCGACCGACCCCGGCATCTTGGTTCCCGACGTACGTACTCACTTCTGACGCTAAATCGTGCGAACGTTTCTGACATGCGAAAATAGATCTTCAACCCGGGCTTCAAGTACACCTTCCCTGGCGGCGCTGTCGCAAACCTCGGTGGCTCCGGCTCTTCCTCATCTGGCTCGTCTTCGGATGACGATGACAGCTCGTCGACTTCCAAGTCGGCTGCCACTGCGACTGCCAAGGCGTCTGGCGCGACTTCGACCAAGAAGGCCGCCTCGACTTCCAAGGCTGCCGCTTCTACTGCCGACGCCGCATCCACCGCTGCTGTCGCCGAGCCTACCACGACTAAGGCCGCCTCGACCTCGAGCACGAAGGTCGGCGCCGCTTCGTCCTCCGCTGCCGCATCGGCCAGCACTGGTCGCTGCAAGGCCGGCAACCGCAAGCGCCGCGCCGAGAAGAAGCGTCAGGCCGACGAGGCGCTCGCCCGCCGTGCCAAGGCTGCGCGCGCCCACCACAACGCG